GTAAGATCAGTGCACAGAACTTATCTTAACACATATTGTATATCAATTACATCATTCACACGGCAATATATTTTATCTTTATATGTATTTGATAATGATTACTAATACTACTGGAACTATGAGTGAAATGTACTGATACCTAATATATTACGTTAATACAGAGAAGGTATCTTGTTATGATAGAAAGGAAACCAAAACAAAATACCTTTAGTTTATATATTATTCTGATTGTCATGGTTGACCTGAAGCGGAAACGTATATACTACTTACGGCTTTATATGTCTCTGTCTGAAGACAGGTAATACAATATTCAATATTAATTCTGATAATTCATATATTTAACAACCGGATCACGCTTTACCTTTTAGATAAGAAGTTTCATAGGTTCTAAATTTTAGTAATCACAGGTTCGTTAGACGAGAGCACCTGTTTAGACTATACACAAAGTCGTATATATTGTAATATAACGTCTCTGGTTAAGAATAACGCTCTATTTTTTTTCTCATTTTATTTTATACAGTTTTGATAACTGACATACGGATGCACATTATCTTTCTGAAATGGTTAAGTTCGCTTTAAATGAATAAAGAAACAAGATATTTCGAAATTTCGTTCACTTTAAACACATAAACGTAACTTAAATGGTATTTTTTCTAATGAAAGCCTTTGTGGAGATCATTGTCATTATCACTCGAAGTTTCAACAACCCGGGAGTTTACATTGCTGTTTTAGGAAGTTAACAAGAGTACCTCGGATACCTAACTCATTAGTGTATTCATGCAAAAAATACATTGTTGAAATGTAAACATACATTGTTGAAATTCATACATTCCGATGACGTCACGTTGTTGACTGACAGGACGGCTGGATTGTGTGTTCATTTATATACGTTTACTTTGATGACATAAATGGACGCGTTTTATGTTAAGAAAAAGGCTATATAAGGATTAACTTTCTATTCAGTTTAGGTTATCGGGTGATAACTACAATGGAACCCGGGTAAATTATTTCTTCTTTATCGGCTTCGCCGATTATTTATCACCCGATAACCTAAACTAAATAGAAAGTTAAACCTTAAATATTATAACATGAAACATGTACTCAGAAGGGATATTCTTACGACAGTACAGGGAAGATAAAGTTCCATTTAATTACAATTATATAAGTTATGATTAAAAAAACCAAATATGAATAAAATACATTTTTGTTAAATACAATAGAAATTAAAAGCTGAGAGGACAGGTGATCGGGAATCTCCTTACTAAGAGGATTATATAAACCACAAAACTATTAACAACATTAAAAACGATTGAAAGGTATATAAAGCAAAATAGGAACGTAAACTGTCTTAACATATATATATATATACAGTGGTTCGTTTATGAACATTTACACAATCGGTTCATCATTTGCACGAGTTTATCAATAAATACTGGACAACTAGTACCTCGGACCGAACGGAGCCGGGGGATATAGTTTACGTAATATAAGTTGTATACGACATCGGGACGTACTTATCGTTCGTCATTAAATATCGTTAATATTGAGAGTTCATATTGTGTCTTTGATTATTATATGAGTGATCAGAGACGTATATACTGGCTTCATGTGTCCCTGGAGTGATGTATCAAAGCACCAGTTCAGCAATACGGTAAAAGTTATGCATTATTCTCAAATGGTCGTTCATTTCGATCCTAACCCTGGCCGTAGTACAAAATAAGCATTATTTCCTTGGTCTTTATTTATTTCATTCGAAGTAAATATAAGTGTACTATCGACCTGTGTTATTATATCGTTTTGATTACGGAATTAGAGCGACCGTCTTTGCATAGCTATACCGACAACACGGCCAGCAAGGCAGGGACTATAGACTGCCTCACCTGTACGGGCTTCGCCGGAGCGCGGCTACATCAAAGGGAATACCGCTGTGCGAGTGAGCGGGACAACGACTTAATTTTCGGGGGCCAACGACCAGTTTTCGGGAACAAAGGCACAATCTTATTGAATTGTTATGTTCCTGAAAATTGGTTGTTGTCCCTGAAAATTGGTTGTTGTTCCTGAAAACTGGTCCATGTCCCGATAACTTGGATATGGTTTTTAAATTTAAATGGTGCTTCGCTAATTTAGAGAGTGTTTCCGTAATTTGGGCCATGCAAATATGATTTAGATTGTACATCATTAAGTTAGCCATGCATAGATTATTTAGCTGGTACGTCATTAAGTTCGGTCATGAATTTATGATTTAGATTGTGTTTTGTAAAATTCAATGCTAATTGAAGTTTACTGGTATAATAAGGTAGATTAAGTCGTAGAATTGATTTTTTCGCTCTTAAGTGATTCTCAGTGATAGGAAATATCATTGTGGCGCACACTCAACAATCGATCAACATTGTGGACTCAATGTATGATGACGCATATATTCTTTGTGCGCTAATTTCCACGCCTGCTAGCATAGACCGGTTCCTAGCTCTATCATCGGAATCGCCGTCTGACTCGGAATCGCCATCCAACACTTCCCTATCGCTACAATTCTCCATCACCTCGTGCGTTGATTGTAATCTTGTACATTTTGCTTGTATATGAGTATGCTTATATCTTCGGCAGTGTGACGACTGTCGACTCGTACATCATCCCATGAATTTCATGAATTAGAGCCTCGGTCCCGACCTAACCTCTACACCTTCGGATAGACTATCCATATCCCACATAGATACAGTGTGTTACGTATGATAGACGCTGTATGGAATGGTTTTTGAAAACCTAGATCAAACGTTATACATGTGTATATGAAGAGCAATATCAAAGTAAGGGCCAGTGAAGTGAGTGTTTGGGAAGGGTGCCCAAATTGTTTCCATCCGAGAACCAAGTCGGTTACGACTTTAAAAAGAAAATGTCACCGAAAAAGTAGAAAATCACAAATTGCATTCTCATAAAAAGTGTTGCTCCGTTAGAAAGTTGTCATTATAAATACCGAAAAGAGAACGGAAGCAGCGTTCTTAAACTTCACATAACTCCAAATGAGAAACCTTACATTAAACCCCGAAACTGTCGGTTTCTAAGTTAAGTTGTCACAACATACCATACCCTAAACTATGTTAGAGTTACCTCCCTTACAGCTACTATTATATAATGGTTCAAGTGAATGCAAACTCCTGGCCCCAAATTCAATAGTTCAGTAGCGTTTGTGAAACAGAAGTCTGGCTTTTCAAATTTGTTTTAATAAAATGACATAGATTACGTTACAACTTACGTGTCATAAACAATGTATTTAACAGTGTTTGATTTGCTTTACTCAATTATATAAAAGGAACGTGTCACAGTTACGTGGCATGCATCACTAACTATATATGTACTATACATTAAATGTTTCAGAAAATTTCACCATGGACTTCTCCGTTCTAATACTTGGTACTGTATTTTTCATCCTTCTGCTGTGGAAGGGCAGTGCCATAATCAGAACACATAGAGTAAACAGTGCCTTATTTTCATCTGGGAACTTTTTGTCAATTGGAAAACGTCATCCAATCTGGGGACATCTTTACTTGGTAAGTGATATCTTCACCTGGTAAGTGACATCAACAACCAGTAAGTGACATCTATAATTGGTAAGTGACATCTATAACTGGTAAGTGACATCATCAACCGATAAGTGACACCACCAACCGGTAAGTGACATCAACAACCAGTAAGTGACATCTATAATTGGTAAGTGACATCTATAACTGGTAAGTGACATCATCAACCGATAAGTGACACCACCAACCGGTAAGTGATATCAACAACCAGTAAGTGACATCAACAACTGGTATGTAACACCACCAACCGGTACGTGACATCTATAATTGGTAAGTGACATCTATAACTGGAAAGTGATATCTTTACCTGAAAGTGACATCTATAACTGTTAAGTGACATCACCAACTTGTAAGTGACACCACTAACCGGTAAGTGACACCACCAACTGGTAGGTGATATTTATAACTGGCAAGTGACATATATAACTGGTAAGTGACATCATCAACCGATAAGTGACATCAACAACCGGTAAGTGACATCAACAACTGGTAAGTGACATTAACAAACGGTACGTGTAAGTGGCATCTACGTTTCCTGTACTTTTACGAAATTCTATCAATAGTTTTTTCCTAATAATACGTTTAAACGGTTTCCTGATACTTTCATGAAGTACAAGCATTCACTTATGTTTTTAATATTTTCAACTGTGTTCGTCAATCTTTACATTGCAATGCAAAATTTAGAATAGCTTTTTTTACAAAGATGCTATATGGAACAGCAATATCATATGACATATCAAGCAATCTTATCTTAAAATAACAACCGTTAATGAGAATACGTTTATTCCTTAAGTAAAAATCGTTTTCATGAAGTCAATTTACCTACATTCCCTTGAAAACAAAAAGGAAAATCCAAGTTTTGGTGTTAGCCTTTGCTGGTTTAAATAGCAATAGAAATAAATAGAAGAAAAAAAGACATCTGATTTTTTATTTGCAAAATTGCACTCTCCTGTAACAACTTAGTCCGTGTTTAATTAATCGCTTTCATGTATAAAACAACCTTTCTCTGCGCAGACCAAATGTCTTGTACAAGGATCAATTATTCAACATTCAAGTGATGTAGAGGAAATAAAGAGAAACTGTCAGTTACTAATACAGTTGACCGTGTTGCATGCATTAAGCGAGTGACGAGAGAGGTTAAAGCACAGACATATATGGTTGATTATTGAAATTGTTTCATGGTCTGGGCTTTGATTTCGCCTTCGATTCGTCTTGTCGGGGATCATAAAGTATTTCCTTCAGTGTATATATTGAGGGAAAGGTCTGTCTGGATTATATATTATTCAAATGAATCATTACCTATCTTGTTTTGTTAGATTCTCTAGTTGAATAGCGCCAAACTATCTTATACAGATTCAAGATTTTACAGACTACATCCGCCTTGTGAACAATGGTATCAAAGATACTGGGAAGAGGGTTTCCGGTATGTGGATCATGTTTTTCTATCCTGTATTTACCTTGTGTCATCCCGAGACTGCCAAGGTCATTCTGAAGACAGCCGAACCTAAACCCGTGCAGATGGGCGGTGGCTACTTTGCATTTATACCATGGTTAGGTAAGTGGTGATAGTAAGTGTTGATATGTGTACAGAAGGATGCCAGGGTGAGTAAATACATTTAGTTCGGAATCGGTCTCTCACATGATGTTTCCACGTGGTACCCGATGACGTTATGATGCCTGTATAGTGTATGCACTACATCATACAATGTGTTCAAAGAACTTCCGCAGTTGGAATCGTGTCAAAGATCTCGAGTAAATTTCTTTAAATTTGATCGATTGGTTGTATGTTTAAATGGATTGAAATTACTTACAAATTTCTTTATTGGTATGTTATGACATTCTTGCTAGTTCGAAACTCTGTCAGTTAGTACAGTAAGATAACGTCCTCTTTGCCGAAGCTACAATGAGATAAGGCGAATTTGACAAATGCACGTTTACAAAAAGGTTAAGTTGCAAAAAGACCAATTATAAGATGCATTCGTATCTGAAACCCTGGTAAAATATCATATATATTTATTTTCCTATCAAACAGGAAATGGTTTGATATTGAACTCAGGGAAGCGATGGGAGAGAAATAGACGTCTTCTTAACCCAGCCTTCCATATAGATGTTCTGAAAACACATGTAGTCACTTTCAACAAAGTTTTCGATACTTTTTTGGTAAGTCAAGAATATGACAGACAATGTTGGTTTGGTTTGGTTTAGTATTGTTTAACGTCCTATCAACAGCTATTGTCATTTAATGACGGGCTCCCGGACTGTGTGCAAGAAGCAGACAATGTAAATTATTATTTACATCGTCGATATAATTACGCGATTCTATCAGATACATGTGATTATTAATCTATGACCTCCAATTCCCTGTAATGATAGTGTTTACAGCTCAATAATATAATTTTCTTTCTAAAATCCTAACTCAAACATAATCTACAAAATCCGATAAATCTGTAACCAGGAAGTAGAACATCCGTAAGGTTTGCCGGAAAACAGCAATTGTATAGTACCTGTTCTGACCCGCTCTTCTCGGCACTAAGGGTATAAAACAGCAATTGTATAGCACCTGTTCTGACCCGCTTTTCTCGGCACTAAGGGTATAAAAAAAATTTAACAGGATGTTTAGATTTAATAGGATATTAGTGAATGCAGGCATTGCTGCCTCTACATCCACATCAATATAGTTTGAAATTCATTGTGGTAAACATTTTTTCTCAAAGACAAATACGTTAACAATGAAATAACATCTTGTGGGAGGTTATTTCCTCTATCAATTATTCTTTAGAGTAAAATAACGTTCTCTAATATTTAAATCACAATGTTGTTTGAGTATTTGTTAACCAATAAGCAACATTTCGCTCTTGAAATTATTTCCATTTATGTTTAAAAAGTTGAAACGACGACATATTGCAACAATTATGTTTCTGATATGTATCATTGAAGACACACCTGGAGAAGGCTGTGTCCGGGGGTAAAGGTGTGGAGCTCAGTGAACCGGTGGGGAAGGCTACTCTGGACACAGTGCTGAGATGCGCATTCTCAGTTGATGAAAATATACAAACAGAAGGGTATGTCTATAAATTTGCTTAGAATTAATAGATATTAACCAATATTATAGCATGCATACAGTTCTTTGCAGTTCTATAACAAATATACATAGGTTCATAAAGTATCAAGATGAAATGATTTCTGTAAGCTGTCTTGAAAAAAAAACCTGTTATATATGAACCCTACAAGCTTCAACAACATATACCTGTCAGGTTTGGGAGGAAACAGACCTGCTGTTTTACCACTACATGATCGTATGAGACGACTGTTGTGTGTTCTCCTTCTCCTACAGAATCGGGTTTTCTTTTGTATGAACAGCTGAACTTAGACTTTATCTCCTTGACACTATTGGTTATCTCGTTGTAAGAATATATTGTCAGGGTCGAATGTCATGATACGATATCCAGAATGTGGATAATCTCCTTATACAACACCTCAGCTGTTAGTTGGACGCAAAAGCGTCCAAAACTAAAATAAAAGCGTATCTATCAGTTTCTGTATCCGTTACATTTAGATACTTGTGAGTTAAATTGATTCACATGTAAAGGGTCACTAAATCAGATTGGGTTTTCCGTTCCTTTTCTTTTGAAAAAGACCACAGCTACATTAACCTTATTGAAGGAATTTCATTTTTCCTAAAACAATTATTACTAAATGACGAATGTTGTTTTTGTAGTATGCATTGCATTGCTCTCTTCTTAATGTCTTTCATTATTGTACTTGCCACTTCATTAAGATTACAATTATTTTAACTTAGTCTCGCCACTCTTATACAGTTCAAGTCATCCGTACGTGACAGCTGTCAGGAATATCACCACTCTAGCAGGTGCGCGAATGCTGTAAGTACTTATCGTGATTTAAGTTATACATTTCATACATATACACAATGTCAGATTGCAATGACTGGAAACAATAGCTTATTTACTACAATGGTGACAATGATGATCACAGACGACCATCGATGTGTACAGTCCCGGTGACATAGCTCCCTCTCCTATGCCAATTCCTATTATATACTAAAAGGACTTAAATTTTGTAGAAGATTACTTTCGTGTATTCCAATGCAAATCATTCACAGATATGAATACATTCTTAATGAGTATTGAAAACAAATCCACGTGATTACAAAGTATTGGCGAATTCAAATTAACTGTTAAAATACAGTGATTTACATTTTTTGCATGCAATGTCATAAAATTGGAAATGTTGTTAATTTTTAACTTATTATCATATTTAATATAAAACAAATATGCAATGTGCCATATTTTTTAAATCATTGTTTACAATAAAGCTTTAAATACAATTTCTTACCATTGTACAGCATTTATGTTTACTACGAATATTGATCCCGCCGATATGTTGATATTAATCATTTGTCTGATAATCAGAAAATATTATTTGTGTTCCAATGCAGGAAACCATGGCTGTATCCAGAAGTATTTTTTCGACTCACCGCTGACGGGAAGAAATTCTTTCAGAATGTAAAATATGTACATGACTTTGATGAAATGGTCATCACAGAACGAAGAAAAGCCTTGGTAAAGATTCATTGTAATATATGAAAAAGATTTTTAAACCATATTTTTTTCGTGTCGATTAACATGTACAATTACAAAAGACATTCCATTCTGATGATTACAAGCTTTGTAATTTATAGAGATAACTCGACTAGAGAAAATAGCAATGCCAAGTTTGTCAGTTTGAAATTATCTAACGCTAGGCAATATCAAACTACCTACGCACAAATAATTTTGATATTAAACTATTTGACGCCATGCATAAGTTTCCATATCAATCATCCGAAGAAATGTAATATGGTAGTCCTGTAATCATGTTACCTTAACATGTTATACAGAAATAATGATATGGCTGATTTGTTAGGCTAATGAACTATGCTGGTCTTGGAACAAATTCAAAAACAATAGTTTTTATTCAATATGATAGAATATCTCCATTTTTTTAAAGAAAAAAATCTTTCAAAAACTTAAAATCGAATAATTCTTTATTTGAAGGCGGCTGAGGATTCCAAGGTAAATAAACGCCGACCAGACTTCCTGGACATTCTGCTTACCGCCAGAGACGAGCAGGGCGAGGGACTGACCGACCGTGAGGTCAGGGACGAGGTCGACACCTTCCTGTTTGGCGGTTAGTTATTACAAATCGATAGATTAAGTGATGGACTTTGTATGATATTTTAACTTTATTTTCTTTGAATATTTCATCAAACATAAACCTGACAGTTATATTTAAGAACAGTCTATGTCGGCTTAGAATATATCGCGAATGTTTTTACCAACACTTTGTTGTAGTGAACTGTGTATTGATATATCAGGAATGTTCAAACTGAATTTGTTTTTGGAATGAACTGTGTTTTACTAAATCACGAATGTATATACAGACACGTTTTTGTAGTGAACTGTGTATTAATATATTACGAATTTATATACAGACACTAGTTTGTAATAGAGTATAGCAACTTTATTATAAAAGTGAGGTCCTACGTTAAATCCCTGTAATATATGAAAGTATTACCTTGCAGGTCATGATACCACAGCGGCCGCTATCAGCTGGACGTTGTATTTGTGTTCCAAATATCCGGATGAACAAGAGAAAGTCTTCGATGAAGTACAGAAGGTGATCGGCGACAAGTCAAATGTGAAATGGTACGGGTAAATCGTGTTAAATAGTGGAATAGGGAAAGGGTGTTGAAAAAAAATATCTTATCATTTCAGTTTATATCAAATGCTAGAGTTACGATATCAATAATGTGCACATTTTAAAATATAATATAATAATATAGAAGTATTAATATGGTTTTTACTTTATGTAGTAATCTAAGTTTGTTAAAACATTGTATGCAACAAATATCAATTTTCAATATGAACCCTTTGAACATGTTTACATAGGTTAATATGTCACAAATTGTTCACGGCGTCCACTCAGTTCTGACATGTGGGCATTCGAGAAATGAGCAATAAAAGGTATCTCCAATGAAAGTAACTGCAAGAAGCATTTATTACATTTTTAATTGTGAAACATGAGAAACTGTCAATGTGGAAGCGAATTATATCTTAACTGTACTTTGTTTTGTTCAAACGGAAGATTAAGTGACGTTGGAATAAGCAGTAATTTTTACACACTCAAAGTTATAAACATAACCACATATTCGGTAATATTATTGCAAGCTTATCGAACCGAATAATAACAGAAAACTGTTCATTGAGTTGCTCGTTAAAATACCACCCGAGAAAAATATCGATAGTCTGCTTTACTATGGAAAAAGATATACTATTTTACTGGAAAATAATTAAAAATTCTTTTTTTATCACTTTTGCGAAACAGCAGATACTAAATGGATGTTTTAACGACTCTTTGTATCCATGACAACACAATTTGATACTTAGTATACTTATATTTCAGGTCTGATATCCAAGAAATGACAAGGCTGTCACTGTTTCTGAAGGAGTCGATGAGAATACACACCCCTGTCGGTGTGATTGCTAGAATAACTACAATGGAGCATACGATAGATGGAATGACACTACCTGCAAATAGTGAGGTGAACATTCTTATAGAGTCCATCAACCATCGCGAGGACATCTGGACAGATCCTGAGGTAAGATTTGATTGGTAAAATTATTTTTTAAATGATTTGTTACGTTTTTACCTATTTGGTATCAATTATAATATTGACGAAAAACCCCGTTTCAATTACAGTTTTCTATAAAACTTTTCTATAACGTACTATATATTAATCAAACACATTTATTCCCCTTTGTATACATTTTTGTATATTCATCAGGCAAAATAGAACAAAAAGAATATTTCTGTCATTTTTCCTGTTCTTAAATCTTTATTGCTATTTCATATAATGGCAAGTGGTATATTTTATGATATTTATCTGGTAAATAATATCAAACAGACGCAAGTAGATAAGGGATGCATAACAATAACTTTGAAACTGCGAATAATAAAACATTAAACGAGAAAACAATGCGATCGGAAAAGGCAGTTCGCGTTTCAAATGCCATAATATCGGATATATAATCAATGTGTATGACTTAATGATTTTACTTTAGAAATATAATAAACATGATAGACTTCAAGCTAATATGATCTTTTAGTATATGTATATGTTTGTTATATTCAGACATTTCGACCGGACAGGTTTTCCAAAGATTCAGACAGAAATCCTTTTAGTTTTGTACCGTTTTCAGCCGGGCCAAGGTAACTAACACCTTACAATTACACTGCATGTTTATCGTTCAGAAAAAAACTATAACGCGTGAACAAGAGTCCAGTTATTATAAAGATCACTTTTACTTGACACAGTCTCGACCTTTGGCTAAGTTTCTTGAAGTTATAAAATTGCGTCAATGTGCAGGGTCTTACATATTTATTCTTTGAATGGTATAAAACATGGTGTGATTATCTATTACTATGCGTGTATGTTGCACAGAAAGCATCGTGTTTCCTGTATTTTCTTACCTTGCAATGGAAATATCACTTTCTCATTTGATATTGCATATAATGCGTTATTCTATGATATAAGTAGTATTGTAAGACTTGCATAACATACACGCCTAGAACTCATTTGAAAATATATTGGTAATTTGAACCCCGGTAGACTGACAAGTCCTAGACCACCGCGTGGGAAAGTAATCGGAACCTTCTACAACAGACAAGCTTCACTTGAAAAAAAACTTTACTTTACAGTCTGTAGTAAAACTAAAGCCGACAAGTGTTGTTGTGTGTGGCATTTGAGGACAGATATTATTTTTTTTCCAGAAATTGCATAGGACAAAACTTTGCACTTAATGAAATAAAGGTGGCCATTGCACAGACTATTAAACGGTAAGTAATAAGAACACGAGAAAGATATATAAACACAAATATAAAATACGAATCATTTTAATAACAGTCCCCATAAACGGAAACCAGTGTGTAAAGATAAGTACCATGGTATAAATGTCTGTTAGATATATTGGTTTTCTAACCAGACAAATGGGATTTTGAACTTCTCTATGTGAAATAGGTGACTCGTATTTTTGAGAGAATCGAACCAAATTTAGAGGATTTTTAATTAAATAAGGGTAATTTTACACTGGGGCTATATATTTGTTTATATTAACTATGTTTAATTGCAGATTCAAGATCTTGCCTGATCTGGATCATGAGACCGTCCCACAAACGGAAGCCGTTCTCCGGTCTAAAAATGGCGTATGGGTGAAATTGGAGAAACGGAAATAAAATGTGAATTAAATCAGTTATTTGGCGGACATCTTATGATATCGGTATTTACATAATTAAAAAATGATTGACAGCAATTTCAGTTTAAAGTTGATACTTGTGGACGCAAAGTATTTTGAAAAGATCCATCTTGCTAAAACAAATCAATCTTCATCATAATGCTGTTTCACCCTTCTAAGACTTATCGGTGACGTTAGATGCCAAAAAGTTGGAAAGACACTTTCGACATGGATTTTCATTCGTTTAACCTTTAATATTATTAATGAATACTTAATAGCGGAAATGACTGCGTGAAGCATTTAAATTGTAATTGAACTACATATTACCTTTACCATTAAAACGGAACAAATCGATGTTTTTCTGATTAGAAATTGAGAGACTGAGTTCAAAAGATATTTGTATCTGTGAAGAATCTTTTGTGTTGTGTTTGCATTTCTATATCAATGTATCCATGGCGGGTTTTTTTGCTCAAACTAATGTAATATTTTTTTCAGCGTCGTTACTAATTATTTTACTAACTAAAACCATGACGCCCATAGAATGCATACATGATACTTGTGTTGTCCTGTGGTATTTAGAGGTGGTCATATGATACATATTTTACATTATTGTGGCGTACAATGTATATATATTTGTATATGTTCATGAAAGCATAATGGTACATTTGTTCATAATTGTTATATATACAGAGGATGCTTTTCGACTGCAGTTCATCTTCGTTGCCTGTGAAACCTGTTTTTTATCAAGTACCATAATGAGACTATAAGTGTTGCCGAAATATTTTACAAAACAGCCGAATTAAATATAAGGCCATATAAAAGTATGCCATAAAATCAAACTCATAAGGATGTTTATGTTATAATAACGCTTATGAATTTTGTTTATTATTGGGATAAGTAATATTCCATTGTTTAATAAAGTCTTATTGAGATTCCCCTTAATGTTATCAGGGTTTTTTGCGGGTTTTTATTAAAGTTTTAATTAATTATCCAGTAAAGTGAACTCAAATGTGTGGAAATATTTTCGAGAGGATATAGCATAGGGGAAAATGTGAAGATTAATGTTACAAGAAAAAAAAGAAAAGACAAATCCTAATAGCTACATAACCGGAGCGTCAATGAATACGGGATATTTATTTTTTTCACGTTTAATACCATATATTTTTTCACGGATATGACTTAAAATACCGATATATTACACGAGTAGAAAGCACGTGTGAAAATACTGGAGTTTAATAACGGAATTGCTGGTGACACTTTATTATAGCGTCACGCATGATAAGCTGGTTGCGCGTCATTTTGAATGGGCTACTCGCCACAATTCTAACGTTTTCTGTTATTTTTGGAAAGACTGGCTTACATAAATGTTATCATTAGTTTTGTTAAATACCTGGGTGTATGCAGCAAACTGGTGCTCAAAAAAACTATTTCTGCCTTCACCTCTTCTATATATAAAAGGAAAGTCTGCGGTTGAGAATAAAAGTAAATAGATATATTCCAATGCGAATTGGTCGAGTGATTAACACTCCGGCCTTCCACTCAGGCGGCCGGGGTTCGATCGGAACAACAGTCATATCAAGTCAGTTGGATAACAACCGTTACATTGATATCGGAACAACAGTCAAATCGCGTCAGTTAGATAGCAACCGTTATATTGATATAGGAACATCAGTCATAGCGCGTCAGTTAGATAGCAACCGTTTTATTGATATCGGAACAACAGCTAAACTGGCGTCAGTAAGATAACAACCGTTTTATTGATATCGAAACAACAGTCATATCGCGTCAGTTGGATAACAACCGTTTTATTGATATCGGTACAACAGTCATATCGCGTCAGTTAGATAATAACCGTTATATTGATATCGGAAAACAGTTAAATCGCGTCAGTTAGATAACATCCGTTATATTGATATCGAAACAACACGGATGAACACGAATGACTATTTCAGGAAACATCTTCCTTCATACCGTATAGGATATAGAACATTTTCCAAAAAGATCAAGATGACGGCCATTACACTTGCCAAATCGATATATATATATAGGTGTCTATGATTTAGAAAGCACACGACGGGAAACATCATGACGAAAAAGGTTTTTATATCTTGTTGAGGACATTATAAGATATTAGGGTATTGATTTGAACAAGCGATGAAATATGCTGGGAATATTTTTAAGGAACACTAACATGTGAACAAGAAAAGGAGATTCTAATCTGCAGATTGAACATGACTAATGCAGTTTTTTTAAATGCTGTGTTGGACGTCTCTGATCGATATCTAAGCTTAGTCTGAATAAAGATTGTCTGTTTAATGACTTTAGGAAGTAATATTTTGTATCTATCGTGCGAACGAATTGAATGAAATTGTGACCAGCCTAAGAAAATAGTCCGTCATAAATATATCAATACAAAGTTACGGAAAAATATTGTGAGAATAACAACACATTTTCAGGTGTAAATGTGCACATGGAAAAGTCAATGACGATATGATTGTTTAAAAAAGTTTGTGTAATATTAAGGTTCATTGTATTCTACCGCTTAAAACTTTTTGTTTACGTTTGTTACAGGCGATCGTTGACCATAGAGCTTAGAAGTCTTTTGGAAAAACATGGTGTTTAGTTGAGTTTTTTTTAACTGGAGAAATATATAAGGTAGCAGTATATAGATAATTGATAGTTAATCATACAGTATTTTCAGAGTTTGTCGTTCTAACAATTTTCTCATTGCTCACATGTAGATAAAAACATCGAGGCCACCTGCGGTGAGAAAATTGTTCTCACGACAAACCCTGAAAATACAGTGTGATATTCTATGATTCTCACAAGCCATACAACAAAATATCTAATTGATTTATGCAGAAAGAATAGTTGAATAGTTACAATTACAGTCGGTGTAATGTCGCTGAAACATGCCGCCAGTGTAGAATTGAAGAATGAAAAGCTATGTAGTTTCTATGGTGATACCACTCATCTAGGATAAATGTTGATGTTTAATAACGGTTCTGTGAAAATGGTGGGTAAAGAACATCGGAAACAGATGAAGAAACAAAAAGGACATATTTTCAAATGCAGTATAGTTTATTGATATTTTCTTTAAATTAATAATAATAAAATAATAATAATAATTTGAGGTTACCGCTTTATCACAACCTGGGTCGTAGGTTGTCCAAAAGCGGTTCACAAATGAATAACATTTAACACCAACACTGATTTACCAATACGAGTTTTGTTAAGTTTAACTTTCTGAACTCACGTAGCATTTATATATATAACATATATGTAATACAAATATGAATGAACATAGATTAATAGGAAACAGAAGCATTTAAGTAAATATGTTACTGTTAATCGTAACCAACATTAAAACTATGACTGCAGGGAAAGTGACCTGAATATGGATTATTACGAGGATTCAGAGTAGAAAACAGTTGGGGAAAAGCAGTGAAAAAATATGGCACATACACAAAATATAATGTTTCATTATTATGGTAGATTATAGTTGAGACGGAGCATCTTGTTACTGGGTAAGTTTGCAGGACAATCGAGATTCGTTTTCGGATCAGGAAACTAGCACGAACAATATTGTCACACTCAAATAACTGAAGTGGAATGTGACTTGCATTTACAACTAATACTGACTAGTTAAAAAGGAAGACAAAAATCCATCCAAAACCTGTGTGTCAGAGAGATCAACCTTTAAACTAATAATCAGACTTTGGAGTAGTTTAACTGCACAAACCGTTGTGCTGTACGACGGCTATTTTTACCCTTCGATTTTGATAGAGATAGAAACGATCATCTTTTATTATGCACAAGCATACATATCCTGTATTTGTATTTGTATCATTATACCTTATAATGAAAACATACACCACATCTACCCAAAAGCAAATGATTATATACAGTTGTGGGACCACACAACGCACCAAAAATAGCGTGCACAGTACACATCGTGCATACATCGTGCACACACCGTCCGCACATCGTCCACACATGCTGCGCACAACTGTGCGATTTAACAATCATTCGCCCCGCTGTGTGATTCTCTCCGCACGTTAAGGATTTGTTATTTGCATTCATTTTGGTCTATATCATCCCTTCACCTGGATTTCCACACCTTGACAAGTGCCCCAGGTGGGGAAAACTACGGTCCAGGTGCAGGTACAAAGTGGTTTAGTTTACCTGTATACAAATGTACGTGACCGAGTCAATATATGTATGTGCTATTTTACATGTGTCGATTTGGGTCGTTTGAAAAACACCGAAAATATTATTTCTGAATTAAAAAAGATAGAAAATAGATAGAAAGATCAGCTGATATATGTAGCTTATATGTTTAAACACGAGGCCGTATTTATTGTTTAGCCATTTCTCAATTTACACCAACCACGATTGTCCTCGCACAACGTCCATAGTCCGCACAAATGTGCGCAAGCAATAATCGTCCAGATTTCAATCGTTCGCACATCGTGCATACATCGTGCACACCGCACGTCGTGTTACGTTGTGCGTTCCCACAACTGTAATATGTACCATTTATGGACTTTTTTTCATATGAATGAAAGCTTAGTTCGTATTTTTGTTTTTTAACCAGATTGCTATCAAGCTTTACAAAAATGACTGAAGTCCAAATCATAATCTCTTCTCCAACTTTATACGTATCCCGTTCTGAGAGCGCAGGACGAGGTCCAAATCTAGTTCCGGTTCATAATCAGGATCAGGTAATACCTTAAATCTGAAACAGATACACACGAATTTGTACATCATATTTTATACAATGGAAGTATTCTAATGCATCTCTTATTCAGAAAGGGTTATTTGTTAACCTAACTAAATTGGAATTTCAACTTGATTCCTGATAGATACAAACTCTACGAATGAACGTCGATTCTGTTGTTCGAATTACCTTTGTACTAATTTTGCAAGAGCGACTTTCTGTTCATCCAGGGCGAAGTGTTGGCCTATACAGTTTCTGTGAATACAAAAGAAAACGTAAAGTGTTCTTGAGACATATTGTTTTTAGCTTTTCAAACAATATCAAAAACAATATTTTAAAAGATAATCACAAAAACAAACTCACAAAAGTAAAGAGCAATATAATTACCCATGTTGTTAGGTTAAAGTTTTCGGGAAGCAATTTGAATATTATTATAGAAATTTAGGAAGACTACACTGCAGAAAATGTAATATGCATTGATAGAATTCATGCAGATAATTACGTTATGAAAACAATAGAATACAAAAATCACCATATTGCATTGTTTGTTTAAACGAACTTCAACGTACTTTAAAACGCTCCACACAATTTGTAGGAAAATCCATCCGTATGTGTGATATTGATTATATGTTATCGTTTGTAATGTTTTCTGACTCATTTCAATAACGCATTTGCGTGTCTCCAGGCCGTTTGTCGCAATCATTTATTTCAAAGATAAGAAAATAATGCGCCTTAAACGTCTAAAAATAACGAAAACTTACTTTGTTTGTGTAATTTTGACGAAGTTTTTCTTAAATAACATTTTAGAATCAGTTTGTGTATATACAGAAACCGCAACGCAATAGTCTGTGATAAAGGGTTCTACATGTAACAAGTAAAACTATATTATTACCAATGTCACATTTGCAAATGAAAAATAAATCCCGTTTAATGTCTTTTCAGGAGAAATATTTCATAAAAAGATCGCATGCTGACATGTATTTGACAGAATTGTAGTTGTTCGATCTACGAATGTACAGGGGTATAATTGAGAATCTTTACATTACAACACTGCGCTTCACTTATGTTGTCATACAGGTCAATCTGATTAAAATCATAGGTTACATGGCTTCGTTAACTACGTACTACGCCTGAACTTCTGAGTGTGCCGTGGTCAGGGTCACGTTCAGGTGACCTTTATATTTATAAATACTCATTAAATTTTGACCAATCAGAGACCCTCTTTCAAAAGGGCGCTCGGAGTTGTAACAAATATGGCGGACATTGATGAGAATGATGCGAAAGCTCTGAAGTTATTGGAGATTGATCGTCTGAAACCCGAACAGAAAAAAGCTTTATTAGAGAAGAAAGACTGTATGGCGGTGTTGCCTACGCAGTTATTACCCAATGGGTACGTTTTCCTTGGCGTCGTAGAAACGTCAGTTCCCGCCGCCATATTTGTTTTGGAAAACTAATCTGTTCGATACCCCTCGCTATTTATCTATCAACCATGATATTCCGATTCGCTGGCAAACTTTTGCCAGCGCGCCTCTGATTGGTTCATCTAAAGGTCACTTGAACGTGACCCTGAACGCGGCACATTTAGATGTTCAGGCGGGGCCATGTAACAGATGATTTTAATAAGATTTTCATACAGGTATGTTACAAAATGCAAACACAGCATCTTTAATTTGCCACAAACCAAATGAGAAAATGGACAGGATAATTTACTTTAATCGTAAAAAATCCAGCTACATCTTCCATAGAGAGGTGAATAGTTCAAAAAGGAAAAAGAAAAATGTGTGAAAATTTCATTCGCAATTGGAACTGGTGCAGAAGTACCATTTACCTTAAGCTTTATTCACCCTGTGTAACGATACAACTCACGGCTGTTACTTCCAGAGACGTTGTTTATTCGCAATTTGTTTTTTAGATCAACGAAAAAAAGGTTTTTCATCGAAGCAAAAGAAAAGAATAAGTTTATATATATGACTGTTCCTCGAGGTAACAATGAAAGTATATTTGATTATATAAACGGCTATATCGAGGACAATCTGCTGTTACTTGGGCAAGCAGAGAAAAAATGTCTATTCATATATTGAATTAATGCAAAACAATTATTTAAACTTAGATCGGGAGGTGTTTTTCTTATGGCCGTACCTTGGTCCAGCGGAGAAAGGTACGTAGCTGTAAGGGTCTTTCTCGGGCTCCACAACAAATCTGTCAGGTCGGAAGATCTGTATTATAACGTATTTAAATGTGTAAACATGACATCTGTCAGGTCGGAATATCTATATTAAAACGTATTTAAATATGTAAACATGACGCAGTTTTTACTACACATGCATGCAGATTTAAGGAAACAAGAAAGGCAGACGAGTTCCACAAATTGGTTATTATCTGTAGATAAGGTTTTATTGAGGAATTTAAGCTGATGACCCATCGTTGTGATTTCATTGCGTATGTTGTTATAATCATTAATGCTGTTTTGGCGCACGATTGAATATTTTTGACTTTTGCAAAAAAAAAGGTCTCCATTTCCAAACGAACATTTTCCAATATTCTAACTCGTGATTTACTAAAAAAATAAAATAAACAGTGTGCAATCATATGTAAAAAGAAATCGCGGAATTGCTAACATAACAATAAATCAATCGATTTCTGATTTATTATTTAATAACGTCTTTGAAAAAGATTCTTAATCAATTACTTTTGTATTCATATAATAACATATATCATATGTAAAGTAAGTAATGTGGAGGGTTTTTCCCGATGCAAATAGTATAGTGGAAACGGTTATACCAGGAGGTAATGAATGAACAGGAGAACGAAATATTAAGGCACGGGATGTGACGAACAATTGATCAGTAACAGCGTATGGAATGTGAACAGTCTATCACAACGACTGTCTGCGTAGGGAAAGACCATCCACATGATTAGCATATAGAGTATATTTTATATTAGCATTATAATGCAGCTTGTTTATGTACGATCTTACTTATATGCATATATATACTTTTCTTGAAATAGTCTGAAAATCAACCATAAAGTGTATTAACGTTGACGCAACAGAAGTATTTGTCTTGACCACGATGTACTGATTTATGAGTATAACGTATTTTGTACATATACCATATTTTACACTGCATTTCCCCAACTCTTTTCTAACTTCCCCTGTAATTTATTCACGTAACTATCCCTAAGCTATAGTTGTTAATGTTGGTTACGATGAAAGGTAACAGATTTATATGAGTGTATTAACACTTGTTTCTGTCTCCAATTCATTTATGTTTAATCATGTTTGTATTATGTATTACATATGTTATGTGAATAAAACAAAGTTCAAACTAACATAAATACGCCATGATGAGATTTATAATGCTTAAACCAAGATTTTTTTTATAAAGTTTCGCTTTAAAGCAAAGTTTAAAGGCTCGTTCTAGAAATGGCTTGTGAGGTAGAAAAATCATTTGATATGTACATGCTTACGGATGGTGAAGGGCTTATGCATTTACCTTTTTGATATTATTTCCTTGTTTAGTTTTTAACATGAAGCAACGGCTCTGAGCAATCTATGTATCGAGAAAACATATGTAGCTATCCAATGATTTATCTTGCACCCCAACCACTTTCGTTTACATGGGGTTAATATATGCATGCAAGACATTGCAAATCTTTATTTCGCAATAATCAGACGTTACTTCTGCCCCAATCGTCTCTTACAGACATTGGTATTATGCACTAAACAATGCCATTACACAATCATTTTGGAAGCTACCTCCTCACTTAATGATCCGTTAAACAAATACAAACTATAACAAACTGAACTGCATCAAATTCGATATTAAATTACAATAGAGCTCATACAGTCTCGAGTTGAGCATTGATAATCCGGGTACGTAATGAGTGGATTTATCAAGTTCTACACTGTGTCAAAATGATTAACTGTATACTCCGAATTACATATTTTTGCGAACATTTATTTCCGTTTTTGTTTGTCAAATCAATTATTGCCGCTCAGACCTGAAAAATCTTGGCTAGTGATTAATACGCCATCTGCAGAACGTTGAAAAGCGACATTTAAACGAAGAGAAATATCGCGGTTTTACAGTACAGATATCCCGGATCAAGTGACACAGTGAATATACGGTTTCCGTCACATCATTGAGCAGGTAAACAATACTAATCGCTCACTTAACCATAGCTTGGTAAAGGGACCAGTCGGTCTTGAAACGTTGGGACACGTTTGATACGAATATTTTGTTTAAGTAATACTTTAATATAAACATGTATCCAAACTGGTTAATTTTATTGAAGACACGTTTTTGTTATGTAAGACAAATTTATATTTTGTACAGTGTGTATAAGCACTACCTTTGGATCGCCCCATAAATCCTCCCGGTTGTTAAGAGCCTGTATCAAAACGTATATCTCAATATTGGCGGGAATCTTGAAGCCGTCAAGGTCTACTTCCTGTGTTGTGATACGGCCTACTGAAGGTACTGGGGAAAACATACGCATGGATTCCTTCAGGACCAACGTGAGACAGGAAAGCTCCTTAATTTTAGACCTTTACAATAAATAAACACTTGAACATCTTTACAAAGATATAAGGACATCTAATAACATCTATTTTTCAATCAAACTAGGAAAAAAGCATTCCTGAAACAAGATATCTAATCTGCTTTTGTCTTTCATTACTAGACTCCCTTTAATACAATTTTAATGTATAATATCTGAAAGTATTTAAAATGTCATGAAGAAAACAAAAACGACAATGAACATAAGCAATTATTAAAATTAAAAAAAAATCTTCAAACAGCTAATCGAAATGTTAAATAATTTGCGTGAAAAATATGTATCCTAAATCTCAAGGCATACTATGTTCCTTGTTTCGAAATTATAAGATGTATTGAATTTGCTAGCAACCCCTCACAAATTTACACTTGCAATATTCACACACACACAAAGAGAGCTAAGGTATTGTTATATCATCCGTACATTCTATCCAATACAGTTTGCCCTAATATATCACCGCAGTGAACTAGATTTATAACTCATTGATATTTACCATTCAACGTGTGTTCTGTCACCAAGTACTTTCGTTACTTCCTCGTAGACCTTTTGTTGCTCTTCTGGATTTTTCGATAATGAGTAAATGGCCCAACTTAGAGAGGAAGCCGTCGTGTCATGTCCTGTTAATATAATTTATTGATACAAATTTAGAGAGGCTGCCATGGTATCTTTTCTATGTAACATAACAGAGGAAAACAAGATAATACTACATTTAGTTATATTTAGATACGCTAAAGTACCCATTAATCAACGTTTTCACCGTTATACGACTAAGTTGCTCACTGCTAACATCATATATTAATACAAGATGGTACGTAAGTGTCTCTTAAATGCTTAGTTCTAACTCTTAATCGATAAAAGGTAGGGCAATCAAGAACAAAGAAAACACTGCATAGAAACATCTTCAAACGGACAGGGACAATGCATTCCGAAATTATAAGCATTTCCTGACTCATATAAGAATCCAACAATGTAACCTGATGTATTATCAAAGAGATTTGACGTCCTCAGAGTGAGAAAACGGGTTCTGACAATGAATCCTCAAGGACCACAAATGAACATCAGCAAAGACTTTCATATCGATGATGGCACAACAAAATAACTTGCCAATACAACTTGCACTTCTCGAGACTTTCAGTTGCAATTTTGCCCATTAGCAGTCGACGTTTATCAAGACATCATGATATTCATGGCAGGTAATTTAAATTTAAAATCTGACATGGTAACACCGAATGTTTGGGAAGCAATGAAGTTGCTATTCACAAAGGAAAAAATCGAGGCGGTAAAAGGGAGTATATGAGGTTGAAAGGATTGATTTATATATCCGGGTTGGAGGGGATCGGTTTAGACTGGTTACACAGTACATAAAGTGTATACGTCAAAAAGAGAACTGGCTCTGTTTGTTTACTGCTGCTTTCTCTTGTGAAGCGTTGAACTTGTTCACTGTTTCATTGTTGGCCAATTGATGTACGTCGGTGAATGAGAAATTGGGTGATAGGGTGACGCAGTAAATAGAACACTAGCTTTATACCAAGATGATCTGGGTTCTATCCCCCTCCAGACGGGAAACTGTATGAGGTCACCTGTCCGACAACAAAGGATTTCTTGAGGTATTCCCGTTTCACCCACATTAAGACGTCTTGTACGTTTACATCTGGGACAGCAAGAGTGAGGAATACGGGCCATGTATAAGCTGATATAACCTGTTAATTATGTTAAATTAAACAAAAAATGTTTTTTCAGCACGAAAGTGTTATAAAACCATACCCTCGAACAGGAAGGTGTCGACTTCGTCCCTGACCTCACGGTCAGTCAGCCCCACGCCCTGCTCGTCTCGGGCGATCAGCAGAATGTCCAGGAAGTCCAATCGACGTTTACTCATCACTGACGTATCAGCCGCCTATACATACAAGACAAAAAGGTCAACACGTAAATACTACTAATCACTTCGACTGCGTATATAATTTAGAAACATTAAATGCGTTGCCATTCAATCACGTCCGACACTATTGTTCTCCAAACACTTAACCTTAATGCTAATAAATGCTTAATTGAAAACTTTAATTTTAGGATACAATTTAAAATATAAAAAGGTCCGATGTATGCTGTTTAATTCTCATAAAATAGGAAAATAACTCACTGTTTCATGTTTGTCTCTGCTAACATGAGCTGCATTTGTATGCGTCATTAATGGAGGCCCTATGAGCTTTGTCCATTTCAAACAGGTATAGTCTATATACATTTATCTTTTTATGATCCGGAAAGAATTTCACTTGATACGTGAACATATTAATTTTTTTTTTGTAATTTTCGTACTGTTTATCAAAGACTTTCCTATTGACTGAAATATATTCAATTTAAGTTTATTGCATTTCTCTTCGTATGCCGTATAAAGCATAAGTTATCTAATCTTTGTAAGACTCTCTCCTAACACATATTCAATTAACTATTATTGGTCAGTCACATGTAGTGATATAGAAAAAATAATAATATAAATTGTATGTATAATAGCGAAAAGAAAAAGAAATTAAATACTTATAGCAGTTGAAAAATGTCCTGTTCTTTATCAAATTCCTTTTTTGCTTTCTAAATCAAAATATCATAAAAATTGGCATTTATGACAAAGTCGCTTGGTAGATCTATCAATCTATCAATCGACATACCAACGCTTGTTTTCTTTCTTTGATGACTTTCTCGTCAAAATCATGTACAAACTTTGCGTATTTGAAGAATTTCCTTCCAGATGACGAAAACCTAAATAATACGTCTGGATGTAACCATGGTTCCCTGTAAAAGAAACGTTTTGTCAGCTAAGACAGCAAAATACTTACAGAACCTTATTACTATATGATGGAATGTTTATCTTTTGGAAGCACCATAGTTTCAGAACGAGATTCGTCAATTTCGTATGTATAATACTGAGTGACAGAACACCTTAAAAAGTAACCTTATGGATTTATGTCGTTCACTGGTGATTTTTTGCCGAAAACTGGTGATTAGTTTTCCTTGAAGGTTGCAGTGATTGCGAATCAGTATATATACATTCAATTTCCCGTCCAGATACTAAGCAGGTCGACATTTTTTGATAATCAGTTCGTCCTCGTAAACAATATGATCTACTTTTTCAATGACTTCGATCGATCTAACTATATAGGTACATGAATAGACATTGTAGCGTACATTTATCGTTGAAATGCTTATGTGGTAGGAAATCCAAAGCTAGAGATTGTTAAAGGGCCTGAAAAATCAATTTGACTACGACAGTATTATACTGCTCTTATTTAGCATTGATGGGCAATATAAAAGTAATCTTGGAAAGGGCAATTAAATGGATTGCAATTGCCTAAGATTGCTAACTGAAAGCAGTTCAATACTTATACTTACCATTTTGGATTTTGGTGATCACAAAGAAAATAAAAATACACTTAACAATTTTCAGCATTTAATTCAAATAATGTATTGATCGTATATACCTGTTCAAGGAAATGAAAAGCCATCTATCCAGGGTCAGTGGTTTTATGACTTTACAATAATGATGTGATAATGCTGATAACGTCTTTGCCATACGATAGTAAATATAGGATGTCTATCAGGAGGAAAAGTCAGATGTCGGTAAAGATATTTTCCCTTTTAATAGGGATTTGTACGATATATTGTAATTCTTACATCATTCTCTTGACTGCAATGTGGGTAAGGGTCCGTACTGCGTTAACATACGGATGTTTGGATCTGTGAAGAAATAACAATAATATGGAGAAAACAACTACACATGTAGGGTATAAACGATTGCTTTCTGTAACAATTATGGGTCAATGTCATGGCAGGAATATCATTAAACTTATTATATGATTATTTTGTTTTTGTCCCTAACAGCACGCACAAATAGTTATAGAAAGGATTTCAAAATATACAAATGTACTTCTTTAACGTCATACTCACCCCTGTTCTTGTACTTTGTCCTCGTACGACAGAACACAGCGCAACAGAGTATCCAGTGTAGCAAGTCCTACACTATGGTAAATGTCTGTACTCTTACCGCCACTGGTCGCTTCCTCCATCTTGTCCTAAAGACATAACTTGAAACGTTTATAGTGTGTCCTCGGGGTTTCGTTTCGTATCATCTGAACTACTAAAAACTGTATTTATAAGACTTGTATCCTTGGCATCCTTTGACAACAAAATATTACTTCAATTCTATTTCTTTTAAACGAATAGAATGAAAGCAGCGTTAGAGAATTATCCCACTAAAAGGTCAGGTGCTAAATACATTAGAAAATAATTATTTATATGACTCTGTCTCTGACCGTTTTCAATAATCGTTCGTATGTATTGTACACTATGCTTCAAAAAAACGCCTTATGGGAAAATATCAATCCTTTTATAATCATAAGTGCAGCAAATGTTTCCGTTTATGACATTTAGAGAGCAACACCTTTTCCGACACCTACCGGCAAAATTTCGTTTAAAAGCCTTGAAAGCTTTCAAATTTTTACTTACGCCACCTCAAATAAAATAACAGCATCGTAACAAATTAATATCTGTATTAAAAATGCCTAATTGAAAGTAGAAACTGCTTACTTTCTGTAAAATCGAAGGAAAATGAAAGCACATATACTGTTCACCAGGTTTTCATGATAAATCGACCTCATTAGAAAGAGCAACACAGCGAATGTTTTGCTTTTGTTGTTTTAGACAGTACGATGGGAGTGTTTGGATGTCGCTTTACCAGGAAGATGTCGAAGACTTTGTTATAGATTGGTACATAGGCTTTGAGTACGTCAAAGTGGAATGCTGGTGTCAACAAGCGTCTGTTTCTCTCCCACTTCTTACCGTCACTGATCAGTAGTCCATCACCTGGTATTGTGAGATACCGTATTAAAATAAATTCAATTACAGATCATCAAGTGAACAAACGTACATGTACATATATGACGCTTAACGAGAAGTTTAGTTTTCATTTTTATCAAATTTACTGCTCAGTAAAGTGTAAGTATATTGGTAGTTAATATTTTATTTATCTTTATGTTTTAGCTCAAACAATTGTGTTCATTGACGTTGCGAGATGATTTTGAGCCAATCACCTTATGCACATTCATTCTTTACTGAAGAGGTTAAAAAGCGAAACCCAAACTTAAATGGACAATCAAGTTGGCACGAAAGAGCTGATTTGCCCGAAAACGTGATGGCTATTTGACTGTTTACAAAGTTTAAAAACAAAATATGTATTATAGAATTTTATAGTATTAATACCTAACCACGGCATAAGCGTAAAGTAGCCCCCGCCTGCCTGTTTGTTCTTTGGTTCACTTGATTTAAGGAGAATCTTGACCGTGGCCGGGTGACACACCCCAAATATTGGGTAAAGGAAGGCCATCCAGTGACAGGTAATCTTTCGTCCTGTATCTCGTATCCCTTTATCCACCAACATTTGAAATTTATAGAGAGGAACAAACTGAAAATAAAAGCATCGAACTGCAAATGTTAGGACAAATAAAAATATAGTTGTGTTTCCCGTTTCCCGATCGACCCTATTTTTTCCTGCCGATCAATACATGTTATTGTATTTTCACAGTCACTTTTATGCATTTAATAGCCGTTTAATTGTTCAAAGTGTATTTATGATTCGCTGTACATTTTTTTAGCTTTCGCTGGTGGTCAGTGTTAAGAGTTTTATTTGAAGAGAGTAGCTAAGTAGCCATAAATAATTGTGCTTATGATATAGATTGGGATTTGCAGATTAGTATGACCGTCTGTAGTCAAGTTGGGAGGAGTCCTCCAGCTGGAATCAAATTTAGCAGGATTTTCGACCATTTTAACCTAGTCGTATAGGTGTTGTATTCTAGCAGGATTTCAGCAGCATCAACGATTTTAATGTATCAATATTTTTAAAATAGCAGGATTTTGCTAAGGGAATAAGGAAGTTAGTAATAATAGTAGTTTTAGCTGTTGTTTGTAGACCTTTGAAGTTTAACAGTTTATAGTTAGAAATAAGTTTGGAGTGGACAGGTTGAGTTCACAATGGTGAAGACTTGTATATTTTATGACGGACTAACAAACTTATGATGCAAATATAGTGTAAATATAAATGTACTTATTTTGTTGTTCAATTAATTTGAACTGGTGGCAGTGGAAATAAAGAACAGAAAAGATCAGTAATACAAAAGAGAACGTAACACTGGTGACCATCAGTGGAGTTAACGTTTGGATTACTAAAAGCTAGTGTCGAGCAGTAGGGATAATTTAGAAATGTAACACTGGTGGCAACACTACTGTAAATTACGTTGGTTAGTCCATAAAAAAAGTTGTTCCAACCTACCTACCTACCTACCCTAATTTTTGGAGCCGGAACAGGAAATACAAATGCATTTTGTATATTTTATTTAGCCTCACATGAAATTAAACATTTCCTTCGGTTGCCCTCTTCGCATGTGTTTTTATTCAATATTTTTTAAACCTATGTGAAAAGTTGAACGCATATAAAAAACAAAAACGAAAACGCAATATATTATCAAGTGTTTATGTGTTAGACAACTTACAATATACTCGGTTAAACGAAATGAGTAGAAAAGTTAAGCTTGGTAACAAATAGTAACTTACCAAGTGTAAATGTCCCCATAACGGATGAAATTTTCCTAATCTGATCACTTTGTCGGATGTATACAGACCGATGTATGTTTTATATTTTTGAACCAAACTGTTCAATTTCCATAGGAATAACCCCAACAGGAGGGTACAGAACACAAGCATCGGTAGCTCCATGTTGGATATTTTCTGTAAATAATGTAAAGGTAACAGAAATGTACATGATTTATCACTTCTTTGCCTGGTGTGGTATCGTAATGCAGATATGACCGTAGTTAACAATGTCAATATTCCCCTATCAGCATGTATTAAGTGAAAATCCTCTTATCATAGAAATCATATGATAATTAGTAGATATATATACTTCCATGTACATCTGTATATACAATACATAGTATCATTGACAGGTTAATATGTCTATAACGATGGTAAGTAGAACACAAAGAGTGCCCTACATGTATAAAGAGACTACACACAAAGTCCGATAACTCTGATTCGTAATTTAACACATCAACAATACACATATGAACTGACAAATGAGCAAAGAATTTTACACTTTTTTATACTGATACAAAACAAGTACGGAACAGTTTCCGGTCAGCATGACCCATAAATTGAACATCTTATTTCACACATATATATATCCTCCTCTCAAACTAAGAAAAGTACGAACTAGACAGCATGATTTCACTGTTTGTAAGTATCTAATGTGTACCTCTGTCGTATGTTTCCCGTGTCCTGTCGTAAGTGTGTAGCAGTAGAGCGATGTATAAAGACGTCAGCTGATGTTTGCTGGGAATACGGTACATCAGCATAAAGTTGATTTTGAGTAGCCAGACATACAGTAAACTGGATATGTGTTCATCAGTCAGTGAATTAATTGATGTGAGACACTGTCATGTATTCGTGTTTCCTGTTGAATAGTCGACGCGAGACCTCGTCTGAATTTGCATTTAAATAACAACATCTTAAGGGCCAAGTCCTTTAGAATATCTTCACGGTTGGATGGTAGACTGGTCACACTTGTGTGTACTAACGTATAGTGTAGGAATAAACTGAACTTTGCTCATTTCTTTATATAGAATATTTGTTTTAAACCACTGAACAGTCTACATTATTTCCTTACTATAGCTGACTTTAAACCCAGCTTTTAAACCCTTTTTTGAGTATACTAATTATCGTGTCTTGTTATAAGGAGATGGCTTTACTTGGGTGTATGACCGCGATTTTCATGGCAGAAGTTGTCGATGAAGCAGAAGACACTTTACTTTCCAGCACACCTGGTCGTGTTCCCCTTGCACATTTCAAAGGTCTACATGTAAATCGTTCCTTTGTTAATTTCTTAAAGCAGCATGTGCTGGTTTTTATTGTTGTTTTTTTTTGGTTAAATAATCAGTGCTATTATTTAATAACATGTTGTATGAATGGATCAATATTTGAAACTTTGTATCATCATTGTACATGTAAAAAAGAAATGTCAAATGAACGTGTCTTACTTGATTTATGTTTCAGCTATGTAACTATTGTACATGCACAGATGATTAAATTACTCTCGTAATCTACTAAACAACGGTGAAAAAAGCATTCGACTAATATCAGCGCATTGCAATTTGGTAACTAAAATGTTCACAGGATGGCAAAGAGATTGCCAGCCAGGAACTCAATCATTCTCACAATATCGTTATCAGTATATAAGAAAGCTCGCATAACAGGAGAATGTAGGCGTTCCTTAAGTTTGGTATAAGGAATGGTAGTTTTCTTCTTCTTATCGTTCGCCTTTACACTTGAATACCAGTCCGCTTAACAAATCTGGTGGTCTTCTGTAGGGCATCCCACTGGTCCATATAGTTTCTCTTTGAGTGGTGTTGGTGAATGCCATATCTTATTATCAGTGCCTAATGGATCTTGCATGACTTTAACAAGTGTGCAGTATCCTGATCTGCTTCTCCACAATGACACATTGGAGATGGAACAACTTTCATGACTTTGTATAGATGTTGATTGAGTCTGTTGTGTCCTGTCCTCAGTCGGAAGATGGTGGTTTGGTCAGATCTTGTTAGCTGGTGGTAAAGGTCTTGTTGCTGAGGGGTCTTGAATGAGATTTGATGTTAGTCTTTATCTCTGTGTAGCAGACAGGATTTTCTTCCTGTTGTTGTTCAGCACTATGCTTTGCTAATTTATCGGCTTGTTCATTACCCCAAACTCCACAGTGAGAAGGAATCCACTGTAGAACTGTTGTCAGACTTTTAATGGTGTATAAAGCTTGTTCCAATTGAGGTAGCTTGTCGTTTGTCAAAGCTTGCAGCACAGAGAGGGCATCAGTCAGGAATATTACTCGTTAAAGATACAAGACGCTTTTACTAGATTACACTTACTTGTTTATCTTTTTTCACATGACTTTGCTGTATGGAATGATACCAGTACACCAGCATAATTTTAATTACCATTTTTTGTAAAATCTAGTTTTTGTACAACCATTATCAAAAAAACATAATAATGACATGCAGATATCAAAATTACATAATATACATATTTTATCATTACTTCAAATCAATATGATGTGTGCATACTTTTACAACTGTAAGGAGAGGGCGCTCATAGGCTTTGCCTGTTGCCCAATTCCTTTGTATCTAAGATCAGAACAATAAATATACTGAAATGAAAAAAAAAATACTTGAGTTGTGCTATCATCTTTGATTTTGATGGAGTGTGCAGCATGAATAAGGGCTTCTTCAGCTTTGTAGTTTGAACAATGTAGGCCTGTTGGTATTGCCTCTGATTGTTAATCTCCGTAGGGGTACTTAATGTATATACTAGCCCCTCCTTTTGTTGTGGCATTTGTGGCTGACCCGTCTGTATATACTTTTACCCGGGAGTCTGAAGGTTACTCGTTTTCAAGCATGCTCATTGTCAGTGTTTTCTTAACAGTGCTAGCCTGTTCGTCTGTGGTAGGATTGAACGGAACTGAGGTCTGGATGATGACATTTCCAAGTTTATCTTCACAAGGGTTGTTATTCATTTTGAAAGCTGTGTGTTTGACATATTTTGGTAAAACTTCCTGGTGTTTTCTTTGTAAGGCTCTTGTCTCTAACGTAAAGCTGGATCTTTTGAGACTGCCTGGGGAGGGTGGTTTTCTCTTTCCTTCTTTCATAATGGCTGTTTATACGTAGTGTTGTGGTCTGTTAGAGTGCGCTGTATGGCCCAACACCGCCGTCTTCAGCACTCTAGGTTTTCTGTCGGGGTTACCTCACCCTTAACTTCGGAACAAATGTTCTGATCCTGGAAGTACAGGAAGGATGTTACAGATTCCTAGTTCTGGATTTTCCTCGAGGTTGTCACCTGAAGCCTTTCCCTGGCAAAGAAATGGTAGTGTCAAGGGTCGAAAAGTCAAATAGTTTGCTTGAAGAAACATTATTGAGAAGAGGTGTTTCAAGATTTCTTCAAAATCCACTTACTGTTTATTCCACTTCTTGAGTGTACAGTGTCACAATACGACAGCACCCCTGGAACTGAGAGTGGTAGTGAGGATTTTGAATAATGACTTAGTTGAGCAACTAGAAGAGGTAGCGTTGTTAAAAGGGATCCTTACGAAGTTCTGGAATCCAAAAACAATCGAGATAGATCCTTAAACTTGTCATTAGTGGATATTCGGAAAGTTTGTAAAACGGAAGCGTGATTTGTTAGGATTCAGCTTCCGAAAAATTGGAAAATGTGTAGGCAGGGTTCCTTTGGTTTTCTAGCTAGCCTTCTTATTTCTGCAAGCAGGTTATGAAATAGCGTTTGCAGACACGGAATGACTTACCTGAATAGATCCATAATGGGCAACAGTTCACGCTAATCTCCTCTCGCATCTTTCACGAGACAATCATTCCAGAAATATGTGATTAAGCTAATGTGTAACCTTCTTCATAATATACGAATTCTGCAATGAAAATCAAATTCTTCTTGTTTCAATGAAGAATCTTTTTTATACGTAAGAACACACATAGTGAAACTGAAATAAATAACTACTACTATATAGTTATTATAAATAGATTGTAGAAACGTTATGAAAAAGTTTTATCTTACAAAAGTAAAGCTTGTATATCAAGTTGGCATTAAAATATCTTAATGAAGATTGCGATTCGCCCGACGATAGGTCTCTAAAATTAAAGCATCTACATTAGATTATTTCCTTTTGCACATTTAAGTGACACTATCTAATATCAGTTTTTATGGTAGAGCTAATTAGCTATATATTCAGGCATATGTGCCTCTAGGCAGTAAGTCCAAAGATTACGTGAACCCATGATAAAACATGTTTACACTTATAGACACATCGTCCGTTGTTTAGTTTTACCTAACCAGATAATTAACAGGAAGTACCCACCACCTGTCTGTAAGGGTTTGGGTTCGACTGTCTCCAAACTGACCCCGGGATGACACAAGGATAAAACACTCTTTCCAGTCTCTTTCCTATATTTGTTCATGGGGCGGAGGCAGCCTGTAAATTTGTTATCGGTACAGATAATGCAGATTCGTACTAATTAGGTAAAACAATACAAAAAATCCAGATTTGTTAAAGGAAAACGTATGTCACATAGACCTATCCGTTATAAAAAAAAAGAGTCAAAATTCATTATTGGGAGTCAAAACATACTCTCAGTGGTCTTCTGAAAGTTACCTAAGGCACCAAAAGGAAAAATGCAAATAAAACACACAGATGAGAAATATAAAAAGTAGTTGTTGAGATCATCTTGCTTTGTCAGTAATATGATGGTTCTTCTTGTTAAATTATCTAGGCAAATATAGCTGTAGATAAGTTTGTCTTTCAATGTTAAAATAACCGAAAATATACAAAACTGTACAAAGGAATAGATGGTATTTAGCAGGTGATGATGACCCCAGATTGGAGGAAGCTTTTCAATAGACAAAAATTCCGGACGAAAACAAAGCACTGTTTGCTCTGTGGCTCTTCACTGTAGCAATGCCCTTCCGCAACAGAAAGATAAAACAGAACAACATCAAGTACTGACCAGGGTTTTATCACAGGAAACATTTAATGGTTTGTGCTATATAATGGAAGATACATGAGGCATGTCCCTTCATTACATAAAACCCGCTTCACTTACTTGGTTTAAAATGAATGACAAGAGATTGCATGCATTAGAAATTCTCGTGCCCACTGTTTAATAACTGTAAATTAGTGTCGGAAACTCTTTTTTCCGTCATGACTTTATATATAGATATCATAAATAATTTCTGAAAAGTAAGTCATACCTTGCGAGACTTTTATTAGACTTAATAAGGATGAAAGAAACAAAAATAATCAACAACAGTATTCTGAGTGTAAAATTGCAGTTGAACTTGATCAGGATTCGAACCCTGGATTGTATATTGTTATACTATCGTTCTAACTTCATCAGGTACTTTTTCAACGAATGTGTCATGGTCCAACTTTTCCTACAGTTGGTATATACATGTATATATATCCAAGCGGAAGTAAAGGGAAGGATAGAGTATATAGAAAAAAAACTACAGTGCATGGAACAGGGATCCTTAAAGATGATCGTGTACTCTTTAAATATTATATAATACTAGTGGACTAGTTTAGATGATTTACCCTTAATGAACGACGATTTAAATTTAAAGCTCTGGGATTTTAATCAATTCTGACTTGTTTGAATTATTCAACTACTTTCTAAGCCAAAATACCTCCAATGCCTCCAATAGTGTTATAGAGGCATCCTAACTCATTGTTCCACGTGTGAAGTTATAGAGGAATCCTAACTCATTGTTCCAGGTGTGAAGTTATAGAGGCATCCTAACTCAGTGTTCCACGTGTGAAGTTATAGAGGAATCCTAACTCATTGTTCCCCGTGTGAAGTTATAGAGGCGTCCTAACTCATTGTTCCACGTGCGAAGTTATAGAGGCATCCTAACGCATTGTTCCACGTGTGAAGTTATAGAGGCATCCTAACTCATTGTTCCACGTGTGAAGTTGTAAATTTTGCATGTACATGTAGAAGCATGGTTATATAAATATTTAAACAACATATCGTCTGAAGTCCCTGACGGAGAGAGAGAGATAGAAAGGGGGAGAGGGAAGGAGAGAGGGAGAAACAGAGACAGGCAGAAACAGACAGATAGACAGGGACGAATCGAGAGGGACAGAACGATGTAACCAAACAGACAGTCAGTCAGACAGACAGATAGGGACAGGGAGAGACAGACAGACAGACAGACAGACAGACAGACAGACAGACAGAGACAGGGAGAGACAGACAGACGGACAGACAGAAAGGCAGACAGGGACGAATCGAGAGGGACAGAACGATGTAACCAAACAGACAGTCAGTCAGACAGACAGATAGAGACAGGGAGAGACAGACAGACAAACAGACAGTCAGACAGACAGACAGAGACAGGGAGAGACAGACAGACGGATGCATTGGCGTACTAAATAGATAAACATGAGCAAAGTTCACTCCACTTACAACTTCCACACTTGTAAGTTAACACAAGTGTAATCTGTCGAGCATACAACCATCAATCTTGATCATTGAGATTGGACACAAGAAGTTATAATTTACATGGGAAAAGACTCTGTGTAGCTTGTATATTGTGTGTGTGGCTCTTCAAAGTTTACAACATTTGTGTGTCGTCCCAAGCGTAAACAGACTATGACTGACCTCGTGATCTCATATCTGTACTGATATCAGCACTAAGGACCGGACTTAGAGCAGTAAACGACACAGGTAAATGTATGCCATCTATACAAGCTATCACGTTTGAAACTGCATCAGGCTTCTCAAAGTAAGAACAAATATAAGTATATGTGAAATAAGATGTACCCATTGATAGATCATGCTAAGGTGAAGTTGCTCAATGTCTACAAAAGTATAACTGCTTGCGTCACAGACTATTTTATTTTGTCAAGGGATATGCGTAGTGTATGTGTAATTGCTAGCAGACGCCATGCATCCGGGAATGTAAGAGTTATCGAGCTTTGTGTGAAGCTTTCGTAGTAGAATTCAGTATGTTAGAATTATTTACGAATCCCTCCGTTTGCACTTAAGAATGGAGATGCCATAGAAAATCAGCTAAATCGGTGTTCACATATCAAAATTAGTCAATTATCTAGCGGGTATTTTCTTTCAAAAGGAAACACAACCACAGTAGATATAGTTTCTGGTCGGCAATATGGACTTCGTTAGCTCGGTAGCTTATTTTTTTCTTAGTTTGAAAATTATTATTGGTTTCAAAAAACCGTTGATGTAAAAAATGTAACAGTTGTGCAATGCTATACGTTGTAACTAGGGATCTGTATTTGTTATGTTGATAACAGAAATCCAACATGGAGCTACCGATGCTTGTGTTCTGTACCCTCTTGATGGGTTTATCCCTGTGGAAATTGAACAGTTTGGTTCAAAAATATAAAACATACATCGAACTATATACATCCGACAAAGTGATCAGATTTGGAAAGTTTCATCCGTTATGGGGACATTTACATTTGGTAAGTACATTTGTAGTTCCTATTTCTTGTTGCTTGACTTAATTTCTGTGTTTATCATTATATTCAACCGCGTGTTAAATATCTCACAAATAGGCAAACGCCACTGTATCGTTTATGCTTTAGATTTACCTTTCGGCATTTACATGACAATATTGATTTGAATGTAGTTGAAAACCGGAGGACCCGGGGAAAACCCACACGTGGTCGGGCTGGTGACCCCATAATGTTTCATGTCCGATCGGGGGATCGAACCATTGCCATCTTGCTTAAAGGCGGGTGCACTAACCACTGCGCAATTACGCCCCCAACAACTTTGTTTAGTCAGATATGTTTTTAACGTATCACAAGAATATCTTTTTGCAGCTAGTTCCTCTCTTTAAATTCCAAATCTTGGTGGATAAAGGGATGCGTGAGACAGGACGGAAAGTGTCCTGCTACTGGATGTCCTTTCTCTACCCAATCCTCGGGGTGTGTCATCCAGACACAGTTAAGATACTCCTTAAATCAAGTACGCCGAAGAACAAACAGACAGGGGGTGGTTACTTCACGCTTCTGCCGTGGTTAGGTACGTATATTTTGAAACAATATCGTTTGTACATTCACTCATATGGACATGTCATTTAGCACGAGGTCCATTTTCATATGAGATTTTTGAAGAAAAACAAATACGTGTTTTCTAAACATCACTTGAATTAGAAACGAAACGATTTTTTGTTACCATCTGTGTTTGCAATTTTGTGTAAGTCTTGTGGCCAAGTCCTCTTTTTGATAATTTTGGTATTGACATCTTGTTGTTACATCTTCTAAATAAACTTAGAGTGAAATACTGGTGGGAAACCCCATCTAAACTTTCATGAATAATCATCTTTTAAGGTTGGTTCCTTTTTTCTCCCACAAGTCCTTTTAGATTTGATGGTTGTCTGTGTGTCGAATCTGTATAATGATAAGGAAGGTGTGAACTGTAATGTAATTATTTTAATACGGTATCTCACAATACCAGGTGATGGACTACTGATCAGTGACGGTAAGAAGTGGGAAAGAAACAGACGCTTGTTGACACCAGCATTCCACTTCGACATTCTCAAAACTTACGTACCCATCTATAACAAAGTGTTCGACATCTTTCTGGTAAGATTTATAGCACAGACTTCTTTAACGAATCAAAGGTTTAGAAAAGACAGGCTGGTTCTCCGTTGCTAAGGTTTAAAAGACATGCTGCTTCTCCGTTGCTGAGGTTTACAAGACAGACTGCTTATCTGCTACTAAGGTTTATAAGACCGGCTGCTTTCCTTTACTAAGGTTAATAAGACAGGCTTTTTCTCTTTTGCTAAGGTTTATAAAACAGGTTGTTTCTCCGTTACTAAGGTAAATAAGACAGGCCGCTTCTCCGTTGTTAAGTTTATAAGACAGGCTGCTTCTCCGTTACTAAGGTTTATAAGACAGGCTGCTTCTTCTTTGCTAAAATGTATAAGACCGTCTACATCTCCGTTGCTAAGTTTTATAAAACAGGTTGTTTCTCCGTTCTTAGGTTTATAAGACATGCTGCTTCTCCGTTGCTAAGGTGCATAAGACATGCTGCTTCTCCGTTGCTAAGGTTTATGAGACAAGCTGCTTCTCTGTTACGTAGGTTTATAAGACAGGCTACCTCTCCGTTACTAAGGTGTATAAGACATGCTGCTTCTCCGTTGCTAAGGTTTATAAGACAGGCTGCTTTTACGTTACTAAGGTTTATAAGACAGCCGGCTTCCACGTTGGTCACTTTTAAAAAAAAAACAGGCTGATTTCCGTTGTTTAGTTGAATAAGACAGAAAACTTTTCCATTGCTTAGGTTTCTATGTCAGGCCTATTCTTCAATGCTTAGGTTTCTATGTCAGGCCTATTCTACAATGCTTAGGTTTCTATGTCAGGCTTATTTTCCAATGCTTATGTTTCTATGCCAGGCCTATTCTCCAATGCTTAGGTTTCTATGTCAGGCCTATTTTCCAATGCTTATGTTTCTATGCCAGGCCTATTCTCCAATGCTTAGGTTTCTATGTCAGGCTTATTTTCCAATGCTTAGGTTTCTATGCCAGGCCTATTCTCCAATGCTTAGGTTTCTATGTCAGGCCTATTTTCCAATGCTTATGTTTCTATGCCAGGCCTATTCTACAATGCTTAGGTTTCTATGTCAGGCTTATTTTCCAATGCTTAGGTTTCTATGTCAGGCTTATTCTCCAATGCTTAGGTTTCTATGTCAGGCCTATTCTTCAATGCTTAGGTTTCTATGTCAGGCTTTTTCTCGAATGCTTAGGTTTCTATGTCAGGCCTATTCTACAATGCTTAGGTTTCTATGTCAGGCATATTCTCCAAGGCTTAGGTTTCTGTGTTAGGCCTATTCTCCAATGCTTAGGTGTCTATGTCACGCCTATTCTCCAATGCTTATGTTTCTATGTCAGGCTTATTCTCCAATGCTTAGGTTTCTATGTCAGGCCTATTTTCCAATGCTTATGTTTCTATGCCAGGCCTATTCTCCAATGCTTAGGTTTCTATGTCAGGCTTTTTCTCGAATGCTTAGGTTTCTATGTCAGGCTTTTTCTCGAATGTTTAGGTTTCTATGTCAGGCCTATTTTCAAATGCATAAGTTTCTATGCAAGGCCTATTCTCCAATGCTTAGGTTTCTATGTCAGGCTTTTTCTCCATTGCTAAGGTTTTTATGTCAGGCCTATTCTCCAATGCTTAGGTTTCTATGTCAGGCCTATTTTCCAATGCTTAGGTTTCTATGTCACGCCTATTCTCCAATGCTTATGTCTCTATGTCAGGCCTATTTTCTAATGCTTAGGGTTCTATGTCAGGCCTATTCTCCTATGCTTCGGGTTCTATGTCAGGCCTATTTTCCAATGCTTACGTTTCTATGTCAGGCCTATTTTCCAATGCTTATGTTTCTATGCCAGGCCTATTCTCCAATGCTTAGTTTTCTATGTCAGGCCTATTTTCCAATGCTTATGTTTCTATGCCAGGCCTATTCTCCAATGCTTAGGTTTCTATGTCACGCCTATTCTCCAATGCTTATGTTTCTATGTCAGGCCTATTTTCTAATGCTTAGGTTTCTATGTCAGGCCTATTCTCCTATGCTTCGGTTTCTATGTCAGGCCTATTTTCCAATGCTTACGTTTCTATGTCAGGCCTATTCTCCAATGCTTAGGTTTCTATGTCAGGCCTATTCTCCAATGCTTAGGTTTATATGTCAGGCCTATTCTCCAATGATTAAGTTTCTATGTCAGGCCTATTCAAATGCTTAGGTTTCTATGTCAGATAATATATATATTTTTTTTAAGAAAAATAAGTATAAGACAAGTTCATTTTCAGTCCTCATTTTAAAATAAATTAAATTGAAGCACATACGTTTTAATAGAACATGCAATCTTTATTTTGTTTCAAAAGATCAATAGTTGTACATATTACATTGGGCAATAGGAAATCCTCAGTAACAAATAATATAGAAAAAAATCACGTTTCGTTTTTAGGATGAAGTAGAAGTAGCGACCAGTGGCGGTAAAAGTACGGAGATTCATCACAGAGTAGGACTCGCTACACTGGATACTCTGTTACGCTGTGCCCTGTCGTACGAGGATAACGTACAGGAACAGGGGTGAGCACTGTTTAATTTGTAACCGTTTAAGATCGTTTTTGGACATTATCGCGTCGTTTACTCGTACAGTGCATAAAGAATGCTTAGAACTTTTGGCTGAATTACAGTTGCAATGTAATAAAAAAAATGAATATGGTTATATATTAGAACGGAAGGTGGTGGCCTCCTCCTCCTCTTCTGTCTCACAATGACAGCCGAAACGCTTCAAATATTTACATCTCTTATTTCTAATCAAAGAGGCATTATAATTTTCATCTGTGTTTTAATCATTGCATCTCTCATAAGGAATATTTAATCTTTAGACATCATAACTAAAAGTAATAACGCATTCTAGTATTTCCTCTACATTTCACCGCCGCTTTGTTTATACAGGTACCCTAATAACACAGGCGAAAGTATTGGAAACTTACTAAAGTTATATATATGTTCATTCGCACAATAAACTGTTGTACAGCGAATTATATAGAGTACAAAGGTTGATGTTTTCCTTTATATTTTGACACATTAAAATAAATGTTAAATGTTAAAAAAAAAAAAAAAAAAAAAAAAAAAGACATGTACCAAACGTGTTTAATAGTTTCACAATATGGTGGAACAGAAACGTACAATTATGCTGTGTTATCTTACAACTGCTTGCTCTCTTGTTGTGCTTTGCAGATCAAAACATCCCTATGTAAACGCGGTCCGGATCCTTACCAACCTCTCAGTCAAGAGAATAATGTAAGAATTACTGCACAAGTTACTATTGATGTGAAAAATAACATCCCGATGCCTGAATTTATATGACACTTGACTTAACCGACATCTGAAGTAACTTTACTGACACGTGATTAGGAAGACACGTGACTTTACTGACACGTGACCAGGTAGACACGTGACTTAACCGACACGTGGCTAGGTAGACACGTGACTTTACATGTTTGTTAAGTCACACTATTTGCCTTAGATATATAAATATACTTACATGTTACATAAGAATCGTTGTCTTTTTGTATCGTATCTCAGACTAGATTGTATTAGTTTTCAATTACTCATTCAATGAGCTGTCAAACTTTTGTGCAAAGCGGTCTAAATGAAACTTCTTTGGATTTCGCCTCGCGAAGAGTTTCGGGGTACATTTGCGTTTCGGTTAAAGATATGTTTTCGATGATTTTTCGGAAATTTCAATATTTAACTAGAGTTATACCATCCAGTATCAAAGGAGATCGGAACTGTCCGTTTGAACCACCGGCTAACGACAATTGATAGTTAAGTGATTGAATCACAACAGTAAAAATCGCTTTAGACAGGATGGGTTAATGATGAACATAGTAATGTTCTAAAACATCGAAACAAATCGCGGAAAAAAACTTAGGAGTTTCAGTGAGGTAAATGATACGACTTACAAAGAGAAATGGTCCAGGTACCTGTGTGGTATCAAAAAAAATCAATCAAGCAATGTATTTTTTTGTTACAGGGAACCATGGTTACACCCAGACATATTATATAGGTTGTCATCATCTGGAAGGACATTTTTCAAATATGCAAAGTTTGTACATGAGTTTGACGAGAAAGTCATCAAGGAAAGAAAACAAGCTTTGGTAAGTTAATAGATTGGTTTCTTATTTACCTATTGATGAGATCTGCCAATTTTAGCATGTCCGGTTGTTTCCGGTTGGTACAGATAATTACTATGTGTTATCGAATGTAATTGATAGACATTGTTAATAAGAGAGACGAAGATGGGGTTTGATAAATATCTCGACTTTGTTCTTTCTGTCACTGACCATCATACCATTTCATTTCTATTCTTATCTCTAATATAAGACGATAAAATGCTCAAACAAATTTATATAAACAGATAAATAAGTAAATAAATAAAATAGCTTAGTTGAAATGTATATTCAAGGGAAGTAACTCGTGCGGCTTAAAAAAGTCAAAATTGGTACAAGTACATGTAACAGCACACGTTTTTTTTATTTTATTCGAATTTAACTACTTTGCACATTGAACACTTTTTCGTATTAAAAATGTCCGAAAGGTGAACTTTGCTGACAGACCAATTGTCTTCCATGATTGAAAGGTTAAGTAAATTTATATATTATTAACGTTTTACTGACGCAGAGTCCATATCTTTAGCAAACAGTTGATTTAACATTGTTTCTTTTTTATGCTTTGTGGACAGGCGGCCGACAAGTCAGTCATAACTAAGCGTCGGCTAGACTTTCTGGATATTCTGCTGACCGCACGGGACGAGCAGGGCGAGGGGCTGACCGACCGTGAGGTTAGGGACGAGGTCGACACCTTTCTGTTTGAGGGTATGCTTGCTGATAGTTCTTAGAACTCTATAATTATAAAATTATTTATTATCAGAAACCTTCAACGTTTTAATACCCATAAAGATATGTTCAATACACCAAAACCAGAGACAAACAATACCTTCCTATTTGAGGGTATGCTTTCTGATAATTCTTCGTACTATATATGATCATAGAAGTATTGGTTATAAGGTAACTTCAAGGTTGTATTACCCCTAAAGAAATGGTCAATATACCAAAACTGGAGACATATAATATATACTGTTTTGACGTTAAGAATCGCCGCACATCTGGCAAACTTTTGAGCTATGTATTGAAACGCGGCATTAACATATAGCTTTGGTAAATATATATAATCATGTGGTATTATTATGAATGATGTTCTTTATAGAAAGGTTCCGCTGAATGTATCATGTAGGATTGCTGGTTGAGAACAGAAATATATATTTTAACTCGTTCTATTGGTTTATAATGTACATATATAATATATATAAAAGTCTTCGTTCTTACCAGGTCATGACACGACGGCCTCCTCTCTAAGTTGGGCCATTTACTCATTATCAAAAAACCTGAAAGAGCAACAAAAGGTCTACGAGGAAGTAACGAAAGTACTTGGTGACAGAACACAAGTTGAATGGTAAATATTCATATGTTCCTAATGTATCATGTACCTGATTAGCTACGGTGTCATATTGGCATAAACTGATGCAAAAACTATTTAATGGTATGCATGAAATACTACGCTGTAACTCACTATCGTCTTTTACATTTGTATGTAATTGTGTCCTTAGTTCGTGCCACAGTGTAAGATATCAGGAAATTTATGATGATGTCATTTTTCCAAGCATCATTAATCAAAGAGATGAAATACACACGAATTAGAATACTTGGAGAGAAGTTGTTTTAAGAGCAATGTCCTGTATTAAAAGCATAAACTTAAAGAAAGGAGGGGAGATTACAACAGCGACGTTAATATAAATCAAAATATGCACTGGATATGAACGAACGAATGTCTGTCTATTGCCAAAGTCAAATCACAAATTAAAGAGGCAGCTAGGTTTCTATGAATAAGCAACACAAATAAAAACTGAAAAAATGCTTTAGTGGACTCTCAAAACAAAAAGACGATACCGATGTGAATATGGTTGCCAGTTAGGACCAAATAACAAAGCTCTAAGCATGTTCCTCCTGGCTAAGGTCGACAACTAAAAACCGCTTCAATACGACAGCGACGGAGGAACAAAACGAGAATGGGACAACGCCAGAACATGGTATGGTGACGATGACGAGAGAATGCGAGAATATGAAGGCGAACTATATGATGAGATTTCTTTTCTTTCGCCGGCCACTATAAGTAAAACATGTTTCCAAACTGTCTTCTCATAGTTTAACTGACGGCGGCGAAATGTTGTTATACATTTGTGTTTGTTCATTGAACAGGTCTGATATAAAGGAGCTTTCTCGTCTGGCTTTGTTCCTGAAGGAATCCATGCGTATGTATTCTCCAGTGCCTTCAGTAGGCCGTATCACAACAGAGGAAATAGACCTAGACGGACTCAAGGTTCCCGCCAATATGCAGATATACGTGTTGATACATGCTCTTAACAACCGGGAGGACATATGGGGCGACCCCGAGGTACATGGCCATTTGACTTGTACATGTACATACTGTAAAAACACTTGTTTTCCGCGGTATTATCATTTCATGTTAAATCACCAGAATGTTTGCTTTAAATGATGATCTCACTTTGCTTGAAGCCGTACGAGCAGTTTCAACGTGCCACAGATCAAATAGCCTAGCAATGGATGTTCGTCTAGGGATTTCACGTCCTTGTTACACCTATATCAATATGAAGACAGTGTCCACGGTTGATTAACTCATATAAGAGATTATTTCATTACAAAGAAATGTCATAACATGAACACACTAACAGGACACATCCGGTCACATTATACTGGTAACGGGCTAACCAGTTCTTATTGCCTAACCATTTAAACTTAACGTCATTCAGGAACCTTAACTGCCAATTTAATGAGTTTTGGGCGCTTCGGTCAGGGGACAGAATATATAACCTTCCACACTTGGGTGAACGTTTAGGCACTAAGGTTGAAAATGAAGTATTGTCTAGCAAGGCGCTAGGGTCCGATAATGTTGTGAGAAAGGAGAGGAAATAAATATATGTATCTCAAGTGTTGTGATGGGTGTAGATGGATTCCGGTCTCTTCCGTATTCCTAAAAAGAAGTGCACAAGCAATCCCCAATTCGACAGAGCTGTTCCCATATAAGTCGCGTCTTACAGATCATGTAATAATTAACGGCAGGTTTTATCGTTATGCCACTTTTAAACAAAGTGAGGATGAACTCCACCTTCATTTGTCCGGTCCTGCTGCTAATCAGGCAGTGCTTTAAAACCCTAAATAGGTTTCGTTCATTTTCCATTCTTGAAAAGAAGCAATATAAAAAGGAGGAGATGATGTTCCCTATATTTTACATGGTTGTTAAGAAATTTAAAAAAAAAAATGATATATTAATTATGCTTGCACGAAGACAAACATGCTACAGAGAAGTGACAGAAATAGTGGCCAACAGTGCGACAAACGGCCTGTCGCTGTCCATTTGATTATGACGTCATTTACAATCAAATCACAAGGATCGCTTACAATACAATACATTCATCAACTTTATTTTCATCGTATGAATATGCATGAAGCTATTTTTGATTTTTTATAATATGTCACTTCATGAAATACATTGCATACATATCTTACTGAATGTATATTTAAATTTTGTTTCAGACGTTCCGACCAGACAGATTTATAGACGAACCCGAGAAGGATCCATACAGCTACGTACCTTTCTCTGCTGGTTCCAGGTATGGTAGTACAGTCGAATGTACAAATACACGTTCTCCGTTGGCCCGTTGTATCACATATGGCCTCAGTTAGATATGCTCATACATACAAATGCTTTGTTTTATTCAAATAGAAGTCATGCATATCCCTGTTTACTCTGTTTGCAGCAGGTTTGATAGCATGGACAACTAACCGTGTATACAAATCTACTTTTTCTGTTTATTTGCCTGGTATCAAAGTGTAAACTCAATGCACTGTGTAGACATATCGCAAATACCAAGGTTCCTCGTCACTAAGTTAAATTATGAATGGTGTTTATTGAACCCAAATTAGATCAAATAGGCCATATACTATGGTAATGTTTTATTTTGAGATAGTGCTTGATTCAGGCATAAAGTAGCGGTTTTGTTTCTGTATAACGAAACCTACTTCGTTTGTTTCCATGGAAACATTCGTGTGTGGTATTTGCTATGTTTCCATTGCAGATTTTATTTGATCGCAGTTTTCAAGCATTCATTGTTCTCCTCGGGTCTGGCGACTATACAGGAAGTGCTGTGTCCTATATCGTGTTGCAACGTCTTTGAGATTGCGTCACGTTTTTAGGTTGTTTAAATGTATAATATTCAAAATGAACTAATTTCAATAAATGATTTTAATTATTACTCCAAATATATCTGAAAAGTAATTTATGTGTTTCTGTTTACAGAAACTGTATAGGGCAACACTTCGCTTTGGATGAACAGAAAGTCGCTCTAGCAAAATTAGTGCAGAGGTGAGTTAATGATACAAAATATTAAGTCAATTGATACAAAATTGATATTCAGTCTCTTTCTATGAGAGTCAAATGGGGGTATTAGAATCATTGAAACAGAAATTTAATGTAAAATCTGATAATACACAAAAGTTAAATAGAGCTTTATGGTCAACAGTGGTGGAATTGAGTTGTATTTTTTTATGACTGCACTTTGATTGAACAAAAAATTCCGCTTAGTGATTTTTCCTTTTTAGATTTAAGGTACTACCTGACCCTAACCATGAACCGGAACTAGTTTTTGAACTCGTCATGCGCTCTAATAATGGAATACGCATAAAACTTGAGAAGAGATGACCAGATGTGCAATATGTACGTGTGTACTGTGAGACATGTTACATAGTGTTTAGTTATAATTACGTACGGTGATTGTAGGTACCTGGTTGATGCATCGACATCTAGTATATTCGCTTCTATGAATGTGAACTGTTTCCGTTAAACTGTATATGGACAAAAGAGCCGTCGATGGTATTACCCAGTATTCATTTTGCTGAATGAGTGAAAATATTGTGTGGTGTTCATATAATACATACCTTTGATTTGTATGCGATATGTACTTTCAATATAACGTAAACAGGGTGTCTGTTATTATGAACATGTTTGTATAGGCGCATAATATGGTATGTATATACAATTAAAAATCAATTAAATATTTAGACAATTAAACGTAATCGGTGGTTGGTCCTATATTAGCACAACTTGAAAAGATGGCTGAAAATTAATGTAAAACCATCGCAAATGTGAAAAAAAAAATCAACTTGCTGTTAATGGTGTTTGGTGAGCGCTTTTGAGTCTGATTCCGACTGTTGATCTTTTCTGTTCTCATATAACACACTTATTTTCTTATTTTCACTTTCCAGCATTTTATCAAATATTGTGCTTCAGTCATTAGAGTGTTATGTCACATCATTGTGTTGGTGGGTGTGTGCTTGAAAACATAATCTGATCCTAAAATTCGAATGAGCAAGAAACTATAATAATGTAAAGCTGCAATGCCCGATTTACTTGAACAACACGTAGACACTACATCAAGAAATAGCATGGATAGGGCTGTGAACGCAATTAACTCAGTGTCGTTATGGCACTTCCCTTCGCGTCAAGCAGACATTTAGGTGTGGGTTGTCTGTTCCAGGAATAGTGTTAGCGCTGACGATATAGATACTTTGCTAACGAAAATACTACAGAATACTAATATTTAGTGAACTTATATATCCTAAAACTTATAATGTATATATAAACGTATTGAATTGCCGTTGTTCATACATGTATACACCGGCATGAACATTGAAAGAAAAATTGGTTTGGTTTGGTTTAGTATTGTTTAACGTCATATCAACAGCTATGGTCATTTAAGGACGGCCTCCACTGTGTGCAAGATGCATGCGTGTGTGTTTTTGGAGGCTGCGATATGTCCGTGTTTGTCTCCTTGTGATAGCGCGGAACTGATGCCGAGTTTATGGTGCTACCTCACTTAAACATACTGCCTAAGACACCCAGCAGGACACCCCACCCGGTCACAGTATACTGACAACGGGCGAACCAGTCGTCCCACTCCTAATTTGCTTGACGTTAAGCAGGAGTAGAAACTACAATTTCTACAGACTCTGGTATGTCTCGGCCAGTGAACAGAACCCAAAGCCTTCCTCACAGGGGCGAACTCTCCACTAAAGGTCAAAAGTGAGGCATTGGCAAGGGGACATTAGGAAGAAGGAAGATGTTTAGAAAGAAGAGAAAAGATAAATTCGCAAATTAAGTCGCCTCTTACGATCATGCAATGGGGGCAGCAGGTAAAATTCTTACGCCCTACCTGCAGGGACTTTGAAAGAAAACAAAACATCGTTAATCCACGTGATGATATAGCGACTTATTCTTGTTCGAAGTAGAAATAGTTTATGTTGTCTAAATTGAGCACATCTACGTCCCATCGTTACAGGTGGAAGTGTCCACCTTTCCCTTGTCTCGGGGCTCGGGTTTTATGTATGGGATCTAGTTACAGCGACTGATGACGCAGGCTATAAAGCCTATCAGTACGGCAGACGCTGTCAGTGTCAAATTTAGTAAACCTTTACTCATATTCTGGACATCTCGTGTTTCGTCCTATATATCCAACATACATATAGGATATACAGTGTATACATTTTCAAAAAAAAATCGTCTAGACGATTATATTTACTCGCTGTATACAACTTTGTTATTTGTGCAATTTTATTTTCGCATTTGCGTCCATAAATATGTTATTTCTCAGTCTTTGATTTGCACATTCTACATTGTGGGATAAACACAAAATGTCTCAAAAATGTTCCTATAGGGAACGTACGTGTAATAAAATTAATATCAACTGTCGGTTATGTATATTTCTCAGCTTTCGTAATTAGCTCTTTATCTAGGTGTAAAAGCATCTTTTATACAAACGTCCTGCTTTAAAATGTGTAGAATATTTAGAAGTGAGGACGATTCACGAGGTTTGTTTTCGTGTGGTGATACATTCAATTCAATTTCAAAATAAAAGTCTTCATGAAGGTGTCTTTGCACTATTGTGGCAATCTTTTGTCTTCTTTTACTTTCGATTTATTTGTTTTGCTTATTATTATTTTTAATTCAATGTATTTTTGTCTTTTCCTCGTGAAATATCACATAACGTAATCGGCCGGTCCTAAACTGTAAAAATATAAACAAATATTATAAAGTGTCATCCAAGATCTAGACCAACTGTACCCGGAGCGTATATATATACAATGTAAGCGGAGACGTGGCCGACATACACACCTTGTATATATACATCAGCACAAAATCTTCAGTATCTATTTCAATAGAGAAAACAAAAACAGAAACCAGAATACAGCTCTCCACGACTGACAGTCTGCAGTATGGCGCATATCGTGCGTGGCCGTTCTTCAAGAGTGATAGCGATCTATTTTAACTACTCGGGCAATTTTAAAACAACTAATGCATTTCACACGAACGGTCAGTTTCGAGCCGAATTGTCAACAGAAAAAGGCAGAAAAACGGGGACAACTTATGTCGGCAACAGTTTGTCCAGAGATCTGCGATTCGATGACTACCAGAAGGCTTTCCAGTCCAAGTCCCGTTTGGAGCTGGCCCGCTCCATCGCCATCATCAAGATGTGTACTAATGATACGATTGTGGACAACAGCTTTAAGGTAAGGTGGCAAAACTAATGTAAATGAAACTTTCATGAACATTTCTTGTCGTGCTTTCTTTCAATGACATATTTATTTTCAGAAAATGATATGCTCCTTGCTATAAGTACATGTGTATCTGCATGATTGTATACTCGACAGAAGTCCCTCCTCATTAAGTAATCAAGGATCCTTTGTACATGTAGCTAGATTTTTTTTTAAAATAACTTGACATGTTACAGCATAAATAATTTCTGAGAAGCCATTTATAGGGATCAATACATAAGTCATGTTGATTTGTTATATTGACACTGGGGGTATTAAAGTATTCAACTTACCAGGGAATTTAATAATAATAATATACAGCATTTGATATACATGAAGCGCCCTATCTATCTAGAATAAACCACTCTAAAACGCTTTAAAGTTTATCGATATACAATTTATACAATCACTACAATTAGCATATGCAATCATCAATACAACATTGACGAACTAGCAGGAGCTGCCTTATCAGGCGCTAACTACTAGTCATATGCCACCTGGCTTATATCTCCCTTTGGGTATATGTGCCTGCGTGTGTGCAGGAGATGTAATGTGTTTTCGGATGTTTTCAGTTGATGAACACTGGCCGGAGGGTTCTGGGCAACAAGCTGTTTGATCGTTTGGCCAAACCGACGGTGTATGGTCAGTTTGTCGGCGGGGACAGTCCGGAATCTCTACTACGGACCGTGGTCAGGATGAGAAAGATGGGAGTCGGACCCTTAGTGGCTGTCGCTATGGAGGAGGACACAACAGATGATACCAGGTTAGGATTCAATAACGTCCGTCCTGGATATCAAGATTTATCAATGACCTGTTAGCTTAGTAACAAAAAAAAAACACTTTTTTTTCAATTTGGACAAATGACTTAAAATTAACGGACAATGATATTCTGAAATAAAATTGAAGAAGCTCATATTCCAAATGACAATAAACAGCTCATATTTCGTGTGACAGGGGTATGTAAAAATTAGAAAATATAAATGAATTTTATTTTCAAAGTTTCCAGTAAAGATAGAAAAAAACCAGCTATGATATGAAACGTTATTCTATAAAAAAAAATGTGTTTTGTGATGAAAAGTAAGCAAACACAACAAACAACACATGCACACATATCTTTTTGGTCCATTGTTGGATGAAATTTTGATGATTAATAAACATACTTCAGGTGGCATGCAAATATGAAAAAAAATGTCAAGTTATTCAAAATGCTTTTTTTTTTATATTTTGTTCATGATGTTTGTATTAATATTTTTATAGAGAGGCTGATCAGAAGTATGACCGGAATTTGGCGACTACGTTACAGTGCCTGGAGGTTGTTTCCGGTCTTAAAGATCCTCACCCTATGATGCAAACCAAACTGACGGCCATGTTTCCGGCAAAGCTTTGTGTAAGGAGAAATTGTAAATTGCCTGACAGAAACGTTAATCATGTATTGGTAATAAGATCCGACTTATAAATAAACCTGATAGGATAGTTGTGTCTGCTTAGTTAATCCCACTAACACGACAACTGATATCGATACACCCATTTTGATGTACATAAGACGTGTGTTCTTTACAGTATATAAACCAATGCAGTATAGTTCGTTTCGTGTTGATTTGTTGATAGTGGTCAAATGTAACTGACAACAGCTATGACCGCATTACGATGGTTCCTACAAAGGCCGTGGGGTCTTGCCATTTAAAAGTGACCGCCAGGGTCGACGTAGCTAGCCTTTGTTTCTCTGCTTGAAAATTCATGGATTCTGCTTCGTACCGGTACGGTCACATTATTCTGACTACTTGCCAACTAGAGGTGGCTCAGAAGACATCCAAGAATTGGGCTCTAGTGTTGGCTACAGCCCTTCTATTTTCGTCTCCTCGCCCCATAAAATAGGGACCAGAAGAAAACCTATACCCCCAAACTCCATCATTGAAGAAAAGAAAATCTCAAAACACAATTATAATAATTAGTATGTTTATGCTTACAGGAGAAAATATCTCAACATGTGCCACACCCCTCCCAGAATGGACAGGTGGTGACAACTGTGGCCAATGGGATTCGACATGGAGACCAGGTGACTATTGCTTATGTATAATGGCCGATTTTGGAAACTGCATGATGGAAAGTACACACGATGATATATGACCGAAAGCATGATACTACCTGTTGTAAAAAAATGAAAAAGTTTCACAAAAAAAACACCTATCAAAGGCTTTATTTGACGTAAATATAATTTAAACAGCATCAGAATGACGTTTCCGAAATTGGAATTTAGCCAATATGACGTCAGCTTTAAACGCGATATGAGAACTTATTGAACTTTAAAATCAATAAGAGGACCATCTATATGATATTTGAAAACAGTTGAAAGTGAACGTCATGCATTAGATTTACATTTTGTAATCTTTCTCTTCATATTTTATGCTGCTTGACATCTTTAAATTCCTTTCTTTAATGATCTCCCTATAGATTCGGTTCGATTTCCTGTCAGAGGACGAGACAGCTGACCTGAACAGGGGTTTGTCCAGGATCAGAAAACTCTGTGAGGTTCGTTTTAAAATATTGATCTATTTCTTAGTATTGAGCTGAAATCGAATCAACAATTAGGAATTATGATGGAAGTACTTACATTTGATCACAGGGACCTACTAATTAGAACAGATTACTGGGTTATGATTGGTCCATCGTGGCGTGTAGGGTAAGGATCAATACATGTACATTATAACACTTGGTCGTTTCTAGAGTATCGGCAAATAGAACCCGAGCATTTTTAAGATACATGAATCCACGTTTTGGCTTACTTTATTTTAATAGATTTTTAAAGGAAAACTGGCACTTGTACATGAATAAATAATCAATAAACAATTTATAAGAGTCAGGTAACAATTTTATAAGAGTCGGATAACAATTCCAAAATTCAAAATACTGTACTGGGAAAGTTCCGCCGCAACATCTTTTCCGCCCTCCATAAAAGGGGACAAATTATCGTGATAGCGAATAATTACAGTGCTCAGTTAAATCGGTACCGATGAAAAGCCAAAGTTTGATTAAGCAAACTCTTCCCGTAGTACACTACTTTGTTTTAGGAGTGATTTGATTGCATGTCACATGTATTACTCATTTAATGAAAAGATTTGTTTTTATTATCTAGCATTTTGATATATACTGTTATGCAGGCTGCGGTGGAAAATGGAGTGATAATGATGGTGGACGCGGAATACACATACCTCAATCCGGCTTTAAACCTCCTCACATTGGCCATGATGTTGGTGTGTAACGGACGAAAGACACTGGTGTATTACACATATCAAAACTACCTCAAGGTGAATACGAACGAAATCTTACCAAGCTTCATTTCTCTCTAGTCATAAAAGTGTGAATGGACTTAAAAAAATCAGAAATTTAATAAACACAAGTATTGTTAATTTTGCACAACATTGTACATGTCCATGCATATACAGTGATTTGAAACGCAGCACAGGGACGTGAAACTATATGAACCCAGACAGAGTGGTACATGTTTAATTACACGTTTTAAGAGTTGATAACAATTTTCGGTAAAACTGCTACCCCCAGTGATTATATATACAAGTATGTTACAATCGGGGGTAGCATTTTTACCAAGAGTTGTTCTGAACCCTTGAAACGTGTAATGTAATTCTGAACACCGCTGTTTAGGTCCCCATGTAGTTTTAACAAATGTCCATGTCCTTGTGAAATGCATGCGTGATATCCCTTGGCTATTTTTGTTACAGCCCCCGGGCGTATGGGATATATATGATTGGGGTAACTCGAGCGCATGAGACAAACGCGATATTCATTTCCCTATCCTGTAATTGACAAAATCAAATGATATAGATAGGGATATGGAATGCCTCCTATGGGGATACCTCTGACAATTTTATTTTTCATAAAAAATATGTAACTTCTAAGGGTGGTCATTCTGAACCTCAATACATGCATTCTACATTTGCAGTTTTCATCACTATGATAATATATTTTTTCAAATGTTTGAATATTACTTACACGTTTCATCAAACAAGTGTAATTTGATAAAACAGGATCTAGGGTTGTTTCTTATAAAACCGTTCTCTTGTTCACACTTAGGTTATATGCTCAAACTATTGTACAACGACACAAAGCCTTGTATCACGCTAAACATTTAGCAATGGTATGACGTCACCTCCCTCTATTCAGTACACTTATCTCAGGCTTCACTTGTTTCTTTAAAAATGAGTAATATTTATTAGGACTTCGTGTTAAGCTTAAACACGGAATTAGAATTTAAACACGGGAATGAGATTAGGATGGGGGCTCAAATTAGAGGTTTACAATAGAAAGTAACCCGAGTGGTACATTCTGTAGCACGTGTGAGTCGCCTCACGTGTACTAACCCATGTATGTAAATATAGCATTTCTTAATCACTGTAACATATATATTGTATCATTCGCGACAGGGAATGACTGAATATCTACAGACAGACATGACCTACATACATAGTCATGGCGTCGGATTCGGAACCAAACTTGTCCGTGGAGCTTACATAGATAAAGAGAGGCGACTGGCACAGACCAAAGCCTATCCGGACCCTACCAATGCCACCTATCGGGACACCTCTGACACTTACCATCGTTCTATGAATAAAATGTTAGAAAATATCGCTCAGAACCCGGATACATGTTCTGCAATTATCGCCAGTCACAATGAAGATACAGTTGCTAAAGCTATCAACAGGTAAGTTAATGTGTCAAAAGGGATGGGGCAATTTAAGATTAATTTTGTGTAATAAGAGGAAGAGAAATGCACGGCCAGACAGAGATTCGAACCCGGGACTTTCCGAATTCTAGACGGACGCTCTACTAATTGAACCTGGTGTCTACGTCTTCGCCCCAAAACACAACAGTCTACCAACCAAGATTCGGGTACCCCTTGCTAATCATTCATCCAGTACTTGAAACAAGGGTTGGCAAAATCGCTAATTTTGAAATAGAAGAAAGAGAAAAGCGCGTGCAGATCGGGATTCGGACTGGGGACCCTCCAAAATGTAGACGACTGAAAATTGATTTAAAGGTCGTCCACTGACTTACTCCAGTCCAGTCACATGTGCCTCGGAAACAGTGATTGCTCTACTCATGAAAAATGTCCCAAGACTTTTGGTTAGATCCCCAGCGTTGGCGGAAATGATGTAGTTGGTCAAATAAAGGGTTATTCATTACTAGTTTTATATTGCTGCAAAGTGATTGGATATTGGTCGCATAGACACGCAACATTTGAGGTCATGGGTCAACAGTGTCTACTGATGATTGCGACGAAAGAAATACTGCTACAGGGTGTGAACCTCTGATTTACCATGATTATTATGTACAAGATATTGCTTTGATTAAGCACATAGCTCCTTTCAGGTAGTATTCGTAGCCATTCATATTTCATATGAATGCCAACCGAAAACAGTGCAGTACTTATATTTACCATTTTTGAAAATTGCTACCATAATAGAAAATGGATACACTTATCAATTCATCGTTAAATTCAAACACTGTTTTTATCGTATAGGCTTGTTCAATGAATAGAACAGCCTTTTGTACAGGGGGAGTCAGTGGTAACTTACTATATACAAGTGTGGGTGGTATCTGAGGTCTTTGTTCTGTTTTGTAGAATTATGGAGTTGCAGATAGACCCGAAATGTGGATCAATATTCTTTGGACAGTCGTATGGGATGAGTGACCATGTGACAAATACACTAAGTGAGTCATCATCATCATCATCATCATCACACATTCTTCCACAGGCATAATTTGTATATCATCATCATCATCATCATCAAAATCAGCATCGTCATCATCCGCTTCATCGTCATCATCCGCGTCATAGTCATTTTGTCGTTGTCATTGGCGTCGGCATCGTCATATTGATTACAATCTGAGGTAGCTCTGATTACGGTTTCGGAAATTATACTTATTATTCGTTATATTTGTTCACCAAGTTTTTACGGTAAGACTCTTAGATTGAATCATGTGAAACATCAGATTAAGCAACTAGCCCCTAACACATAAACATTTCATTCTTCATTTCACAGGTGAGATGAAGATGCCAGTGTATAAGTCAATACCGTACGGTTCTGTGGAGGACACACTCGCCTACCTATCACGGAGAGCAATGGAGAACCGATCGGTACTGGAGAGGGCGCAAAGGGAGAAAACTCTCATGTGGAAAGCCCTGAAGGCGCGTAAATAAGAGGGTGTCAAAGAGGGGAAAAAGCCGGTCCCTTTGAAGAACTATTGATGTGTAATTCATACGAAAAGTCGTACATGTTTTGATCACGTGTTCCTTATCATATGGGAGAATTATGAACCATGATTGTTTCGTTTTGTTCATCATTAAACTTCTTCCGCCGAGTATAGAACTTCCGGTTTTCCTGTTGAGGTATCAAATTTAAAGAATCTAAGCTTTTTTTCAATATTTTTATGCAAACTTTTGATATAAAATAAGGACAATACTTACTACAAACAGTTCTTTTGATATTGGTCAGTATTGAACTGTTGTTCAACAGATATGAACGCAATTTGATCAGCGTCATTTTGAAGCCTATTTCTCCTGCCATGAATACCACGAGACATCGTATGAGCAAACATATTAGTGACGTTAGGATGTTACAGGAATCTCGTTTGCACTGACGGCATCAACACTTCAATATCGAAAATGTAAGGGAATACCCATGTTAATGTTCATGGCGGTATGAATGCAAATTGGCTGCATACATATTTATCATGATGCCCCAGCAGGCTTCGTGGAATATATATGCAACCGATCTGCGTTCATACCGGCATGAACCTTGAACAAAAATGCCGTTTAGTTCTTATGTATTCTTTATCATGGTAAATTTTCTATAATGACAAGCAACTTATGGCAAGAAATTAACGAAAATAGTCACTGTTGCTGTTTATTGAACTGCATGCAATATGCAAATGAAAAATACAATGTACAATGTGTGACTTTCTGGTCAAAACTGAAAATCTACCTATTTGTGGGAAATAATGTAACTTATACTGATTTCATCTCTATTCATCAGGGCATTGACGCCTGTAGTATGTACATTGTACATGTTGGTAATGAAAGTTTATTAAATAAGTGATTTTATGGACATTGTATATTCAATGCATATCCCTGACAAACAAATATATGTATATATAAAAATATAAAAAAAATATTATATATATAATATATATTATATATAATTACATGCTTACTAATAAAAATGGGTGTTTTTGTATATGCGATACGACACATTTGCTCTGACCCATATCAGCCCTCGCCGTATCACACCCGAAAACCCGTATCAATCCCCGCCGCAACACACCCCAAGACCCGTATCAGCCCTCTCCGTATCAGCCCGCAAACCCATTTCACATCCCTTTTGGAAATTTTTCGTTTTCAATATTTCAAAAGAAATATTGATCATCCGATAGTTGCTTTTATTAGTAATTATGTAATAAACAGAATAAATCACGCCTTCTTCCATATCACACCCAGTATCAACCCTCGACCAATATCAGCTCGAGAGCCGAAGGCCCGAGGGCTGATAATACAGTATCGGGTTGATACTAGGTGTGATATGGAAAAAGGCATGTATTATTCTCTATTTAATGATGTTTACAAGAAATACAATTAAGTATATAAAAAGTAATAAAACCCATCGTAAACTATTGTGGTGTTTTGTTTTTTTATAAAATTTATAAAGTTTAACAAGTTCACGCCGTCAGTAAATCTTTCTGCATTCAGCTTTAAAACTAATGTTTTAAGATTTTAATTACAATATTCCCTTTTTCGCAATTGGTTAAAAAATAACACGTAGAAGTAAAGACTCATACATGTGTTATGTTTATGGAACCGATTGTGTACGTACATGTGTTATGTTTATGGTACCGATTGTGTACCTACAATTGTTTAAACATTACCCCATCAATATTAGACCCTAAAAGCTGCTACAGAAGATCTTACACTGGATTTAACTATTCCCTCTTATTAAATATATATATATTATAAATTATAAATTTTAGCTACATTTTGAACACAAACAGTAATTGAACACTTGTTTGGCGAGCTCCCGAAAAGGTGTCTGTTTCTCTTGTCAAGCAAAGGGTGCAAATGACCGGTGTCTCGACTCTAAACTCCTGAAAACAATTTAACAACGTGCCGAGTCAGTAAATTTAGCTGTCGGGTAATACGTTTACCAATTACGCCCCTGAGCGGATTTTAAAATGGAGACTCGATGAACAGAGACGAGAGGGGGGAAGGAAGAGCACAAGTTAAGTCATCTTTATGACCCCATTTTAGCATCCATTAAAGTACTTTTTGGTGTCATTAAAAAGTTTTTATATATACCAGAAAAATTATAAGCAATGAATTTTGCAGCGGGTGCTTATGTCTTATGTTTCATTATTGAAAGTGCTCATCGATACCAGTGTTAATTCACAGGGACATGGACATTTTTTTAATAGGTATATTTTTTATTGTGTCCTACGTATCTATTCTGAAGTGAAGAGATTGAAAGTAGAAGTGCTAACACCTCATAAAAACGACCTCCAGGTGAGTGTATATTCTAGTATATCAAACTTGAGGTAGGGTGGTTGCCAAGTGTTGACATAGACCTTTAACATTTCTGATATTTCTCTTTCCACATCAGGATATATTCAAGCATAGGTACTGTAGACGATTCTCAAGTCCCTGTGTAGGCATTGCTGAAGACAATTTTACAACAATATATGTAGAGTGTCACCCAAGCCTACCCGATATATACCCTGTATAAAAACACCTGTACGAGTTAGCGTCTGATGACACCTGAACGCTACAGGACCTCGACACACTATACTATATAAATATTTTTATTGTTTCAGATTCACCTACAAAGTCTGTTTATCCACACCAGAAATAGCACACCAGGTAGGCAAGGTTATCCTATGTCTATTGGGGCTGTTCACTATAGAACAGATCTACAGAGAAGTGTATTATCTATATACATTAAGGGTTGGTTCCCGCTGTGATTAGTCTTAAGCATCATTAAAATATTTCCCTTGTTGCAACGATTTGATTTGTTTTGATAGAAAAGATATTGAACCCTGTATGAGGCCATTGCGCTCTGATGGGCCTTGTAAATGTCAACAAAACTGGTTGCAACTTGTACTTGAACCAAGAAATTTCTTTATGTGGATACGGAACAAATATTTTTAGCTTGACATGTATATATACATGTATCTGTCATTAAAGACCTTGTGAATCTCCTTTTATTGTAATGAAAAGCACGGAAAGTATGACAGACGCAATCGTTGTTTTCTTTTGTTTTTCTTTTTAGAATTATGTTTTAATCTGTATGAGTGTCTCGAATGCAGTACTATCTTTTTAAGATAACATTTGAAAAGGGAAGCAACTCGTACTATCATAACTCAAAATTTTAAAACTGCCTATGATTAAAATCTATTCTGCACCATTTTTCTAGTAAACATAAAAATGTCTGTTTGAATTTAGTCCCCTTAAATTTTCCGATCGCCGTGGTTTTTAGACTGATGTTACACTATTTATATATCAAGTATGTAAGTATTCGGTTTGTTTACTCAGTAAGGTAAGATGTGTATACTGATATATGATATACCTGTTTCCACACCAGCGAGGTCATACTGATGCGTGCCTGAAATATATTACTTCTCAGTTTCAACACACATGTATGTGACACAGACACGTGCTGATATATATTTTATTACAAAAATTAAAGCCATCCATAATGGCGACTATTTCCAGTCGTGTTTTCCGAGGACCACTCCACAAGACATGTGTAAAAAAATTGTTCAGAACCCATCACAGTTCTGAGAAATTCGGTACTCAATTTTCGGCAGCTGCGAGTATTTCGGAGAAAGGAGAATGCACGAATGTTACAGACGATATCCGTTTCGACGATTACAGAAAAGCATTCAGATCTATGTCCAGATTGGAGCTAGCTCGATCCATCGCTATTCTCAGGTTATGCGCCAACAATCGCGTAGTAGATAGCAGCTTACAGGTAAGATAATACAGTTTTTAGTTTACACCTGTAATGCACGGCTGCATAATTGTGTCATAATGATCTGTTTTGAATTACGAGTCTTTGTATAAAATATATGTTATTAGGATTAACACATCTGTAACCTATATGTTGAATAATATTTAAAAATATACCTTACGTTCCTGCTAAATGATTTTTTTCAGTGACATATGTTGAATCGTGTAATTGAAACGTCTTTAGTCAAACTCAGTATTTTTATTGACCCTTATGATAAAATATAAATTTAAATTTAACGAACTTAACCAGGAAGTGAACTTATTATGTGTTTGTATATGCTACTGTGTAGTTCACTTGTGTGCAGCCTTGACAATGATTTGTAAAAATTACATATTAATATGCGTAGATGCAAATAAAATCGATTTCAATAGTAGATGCAACAGGTGATACATGTTTTGTTATTTCCCATATTTAAGCTGCTATCTTGGAGAGGGTGTAACCCATTATAGCGAAGGTTAAATAACTAGGCACCAGCATTTTGAAATTGCACCCTGGGTAGACAAGTGCCCCGCTATCCCTGTCTTACCTAATTGTGTCTCGGTCAAGGACAAGCTTGAAAATACTGCATTTATTGTGTTCGATGTCATGGAAACATGACACGTTTTGTGGTTATAGGTTTACAATTGCACATCTTCGGGACTCTCCGACACGCTCGGAAAACTTATTGATTTCTGAATGTTCCGGAGGCCCTATAATAGGATGCGATTCAGCTAGGATATTTGCAGTCAATTGGCAGCCAATGAATGTTTTGCAGAAACCGTCTGTTCTGCGAATTTCTAAAAAAATCATTTGATTAGTTTTTAAAATATGCTTGTGATTTATGAGATTATTGTGTTTTATATAAATCAGAAAATTTAGAAAAGGCCTGAAGAGAAGCTGTCCCTTTACAACAGGCCTCCAATCATGTGCCCAGAAATGTTTGCTTCATGTTAAAGAAAAAATACCTTCACGCCTTAAGAAACCACGATGACCAAAGGAGTCCTCCAATTAGGCTTCCTCTTACCAACCCTGTACATTCTAGTGTACATAGCCGGACTTTCTTAGATAATTCAGTACGAGCATTGATTTTATTAAACTAATTGAAAACGTCGTATAAACAATTACTCCACATACCTACTTGGTATCTTGCTAGCAAAGCTGAGACGTCTGTGTAGGTCCCTTAATTACATTAATGTATGAAATGTTTAGAGCAAACCATATTGATAGTGAAGCTTGTTATTGTTGACACCCATTTGAGTTTGTCTTTCATTATCTATAGATGAGTGCAATTTATTTGATAAACGAACGACCTATTTTTATGGAATATTTGAATAATTTGAATGCTGATTTTGACTGGAAAATGATTTTGTTTTGATCTTATGAAACATTGCACATGAGCATTTCCTGACATGTGCCAAAAATTATTAGCGGAAGATATGGAGAACAACTTGTGCCTAATCCATTATTGTACGATTTTTCACTAAGGCTGAAAAAGGTGTTGAACGCCAATAAATGTTTCGAAATAATTTTCAGCTGATGAATACCAGTCGCAAAGTACTTGGCAGGAGACTGTTCGACAAAATAGCCAAAGGGACAGTGTACGGTCAGTTTGTGGGCGGAGACAGTCCGGAATCTCTCCGGACGACAGTAGCACGCCTGCACGACACCGGGATAGGCCCTCTGGTGGCTGTTTCTATGGAAGAGGATACAACGGATGACGTCATGTATGGTTCCAGCTTGGTGTAACGAGCGTTTGTTTTTATCAGATTTATAATATAGAACTTCAATGCATGAACTTCATTATGATTAAAATTTCGGCAGATGATATTATGAAGTTAAACACGTAACAGTAAGCCACGCTGAGTGAGAGAACGTCTTCGTTAAATATATTGATCAGACGCTGGCTACCATAATATGCAATCACTGACACACACACAGCAATGATGATAACTAGATTTGCGATAGTGTACAAAGCCGTGGAGAAGAGAGTGGCTGCTCGAACAGGGGCCTGATATATATAATCATTGGGGGTTTCATTTTACCGAAAGTCGATCTAAACCCCTAAAATTACTCTGGACACCTTAGTTTAAATCCATTTAGCTGTAAATTAAACTCTCAAGTCCCGGTGTCTGCACACATACACATTATTTCTGTTGTGATTCATTGGAACCGAGAAGTGAATTCCAAGAAAAGCTTTGGACAAAAAGTGGTAATCGTGATAGCAAAAGATTAATTACAAGGAGACGGACCAATAGGTATCGTCGACTTTGGTTTGAGTTGTGAGTGCTGGAGAACGACCCAGAGCTATCTTTCCTTAAACTCAAGTCCACCTCTGTCAGATATTAGAGGCAAATTGAAAATCTACTCCGCCCTGCTTTCAATTTTCGCCGTAAGAAGTATCAGTAAACCAAAACATTTGTGAACTGTTGTCGGAAAACGATCATAGAAATTTAGATTGAATTGAAGTATTCATTATAGATAACGTTCGGGTTTAATACTGAGAATATTGAGACTATATCTGAAAAGAGAGAAAAGGGAAAACAAAACTTCCTCAAACAGGTCGAATTTCAGTTTTAGGCATTGACAGAGGAAGATTTTAGAATTTTTCGGCAAAAATCGAAAAATTCGAGTATTACAAGCTGTAATTGAGTATCAGGAACGACAACTCTGGGTAGAGACTGACTGCGAGTTTATAGATGCATTGATTGATTTAACATAAGATTTAAACTAGATAGAACGATATACAGTTGTGTGACCGCACAACGCACTAAAAATACCGTGCATACATCGTTCACACACCGTCGCACACCGTCCACACATGGTGCGCACAACTGTGCGATTTGACAATCGTTCGCCCCGTTGTGCGCTTCTCTCCGCACTACGATCCAGGTACAAAGTTGCTATTTTTACCTGTGTTGCCGAGGCTGTTTTGTAAGGTCGTTTAAAACACCGAAAACGCCATTTCTAACATAAAGACAGAAGGATAAGCTTGTAGATGAAGCTAGAATAGGGAAGGAAACATACTTAAAAAATCAAGTTTATATGCTTAACTAGCAAACCGTATATATTGTTAAGCCATTCCTCAATTTACACCAACCACGATTATTATCGCATAACGATCGTCGATCGTCCGCACAAATGTGCGCAAGCAATGATCGTCCAATTTTTTATCGTTCGCACTTCGTGCACAAATCGTTCACACACCGTGCACACATCGTGCGCACACCGCATATCGTGTTACGTTGTGCGATCCCACAACTGCAATTGAACTTTTCAGAAATAATGTACTTTTTCCCCTGGGATTTCATATTAGCTTGCATGTTGTCATTATAAGTATTCTTGGTCATTTGGGGAACCATTTGAGATTTTTTAACTTTAGAAAACTAACTTTGAAATATAATGGATTTCAATTCCATAGGTATTCATATGTATTCAAATTATGTATGCCTGCAGAGTTAAAATTCCAATAACAACCATTGTAAGCTATTTATTCCAAGCACTGTCAAGTTATACGTATTAACATTTCTATTCAGTTCAACTTCTTTTGTTCAATCAACAGATCAGCCACGTCACTCAAATTTACATGGGCGATATGACATATTTCTATGCAACATATTTCTGTTGTGATTAACTTAAAACCTGCATATTTTGAAATTGAGATCAATTATAAACTGTATTTATATAGACTTTATCTTATTATCAATAATTTATATTCTTTAGAGAAGCTGACCGGAAGTACAATCGGAACTTGAATGCTGTTCTTGAATGCTTACACGTCATTTCCGGTCTCAATGACCCTCATCCAATGATGCAAGTGAAGGTCACATCTTTACTACCAGCTAAACTTTGCGTGAGTATATAACTATTTGTGATAAAAAAAATTCAGAACGAACAAATGTTTACAAACGGGATTGAGTTTCGTGATAGTGTATAACTCGGTATTAATTGGATTCAACTTGATATTTCATATGTATTTTATGTATTGCATAATCTGCAGACATGCTTAAACATCTTCAGACTTATATAAATATTCTATCCGTCACGTTTATATGTTACTCTGCCTGGCATATAGTGCACATGCACTTTCAATTTGTGTTTGAGTTTAAGGAGTACGCTATCTATCACCTTTTGACAGCCAATTAGGTCAGAGTTTAGGTGATAGGCTACTTATAGGTGGATTTTGTCAGAGTTATACTGAAATATCTAGCATGTTTGATATGTAATTTGTATAAGAGTAAAACAAGAGTTTCAAAGAAAAATGGGCAGTGGGTTTGATTTGCTTCATTTCAGAATCGTCAAATCTGATTACCTGTAATGATGCATGGCTAATATCTAGAATCTTAGTTATAACAAATTATAATCTGCATTACCGACACATTTATTGTACAGGAGGCGATATCCAAACATGTGCCACACCCTTCCCAGACAGGTCACGTGGTTGAGAAAGTAGCCAATGCGATGTTACATGACGATAAGGTAAATCAGGGGAATAACCTGTACAGTTTTGATCAGTTAGAAGAAAATACCAGTAGAGCATTTACGATAACCATCTATCTTAAAGATATTTCTTGATTTTTTAATGCCAGGACCCTTGACAAAATATAAATACTTTCGTACATATTTTGAAAACAAATTTTTTCTCCTACCTTTAAATGATTTTTTTCCCAATTTATTTGTTCAAGATGTCTCTGTCACCCACTAGTTGCTGCTTTTCCTGTCACACATAGGGTATCACAGATGGCACAAAGAAAGAAACCATATTATGACGTAACTGGAATAATAAGATATGACGTCATAATTATCAGCTCTTGACTGGGGAGGTCATGATCAAATCAGTATAACAAAATAGAAAAAAAACTAAAAACTGTTATTTTAAAACATAGATTTGGAATCATGGTAGAAAATGTAATATTCCCCTACCTTAAGGGTGTAAAAGAGAAATCTCCAACCCTCGGGTTGCATTTACCGATGATCAATTGCCATGTCATATTATCAGCTGTAACGTCACGCACGTGATATGGGGAATACGATTTATAGAGCCTATCTTATGTACGATATGTAGGTATTGGAGAAATGAAAAATTCTACCCAATTGTGATTGTTTTCGTTTATATAATAATTTGGGTTAGAAGTGAGGCTGTACCGAAGTTCTCATCCAAAGGTAAATGTGCACCCGAGGGTTCCAGGTACAGAAGTGTCCAATCCAGTAAGGCTGTTGCAAATTTACTTTTACAACTGTACATTTGAATCCTATCGATCCTAATTAAAGTGTATTTTGTTTCAGATAACCATGGATTTTCTGTCAGAGGAACAGATGGCCGAGCTACATAGGGGCTTGTCACGACTTAAGAAAATCTGTGAGGTATGTTTCTTCACTTATTCAGATCAGTATATTCACGAAAAGTGCTTATGTATTGCTCGCAGGATCCCGATCAAGAAAACATGAACTCTTGACGAATTGTCATGGTGACGGAAATTCAGTACAAATGTAATCATGATATATTGAAAACCACAAAAATTTCGATATTCTCATTTTTAATAACTGCTAGTTGAGGGCATTTTCTCTATATATTTCGATCGATTATTCTCGGACGTTTTCATCTTGGTCAATGTCTAACACATCGTTTAGAATCCTAACTAGGGACCTCCTAAAAGCGGCTTGTCTACAGTGACCAGTCATATCAGCAGGCGTTTGTGTGTGATTTCCAGCTAATATCATCGTCTGCTGGATAACCGATACATCCGGTAGTGAAGCGGACGTAAAACCTATCAATCAATCAATCAATCAATCTGACCAAGTGGGCTTTCTTCTGTTGCTCAGGTTTCTTCCCGTATACAGATTCTCCGAGCACTTCATTATAAATCATCAAGCGTGACATATAAATTCATTACTTCTTTTACAATTGTTGTAAAAACATGTAATACACTATCTTTTTTGCCTATCAAAACCAGGCTGCTGTTGACAAGGGTGTTATCGTTATGGTAGACGCGGAGTATACATACTTTAACCCGGCCCTCAACCTTTTATCTCTGGCTATGATGTTGGTGTGTAACAGACAGAAGACATTGGTTTATTACACCTACCAGAACTATCTCCAGGTACGTACGGTCGCGACACACCTACCAGAACTATATCCACGGTCGAGATACACCTACCAGAACTATCTCCAGGTACGTACGGTCGGGACACGCCTACCACAACTATATCCACGGTCGAGACACACCTACCAGAACTATCTCCAGGTACGTACGGTCGCGACACACCTACCAGAACTATATCCACGGTCGAGACACACCTACCAGAACTATCTCCAGGTACGTACGGTCGCGACACACCTACCAGGACTATCTCCACGGTCGAGACACACCTACCAGAACTATCTCCAGGTACGTACGGTCGCGACACACCTACCAG